TATCCCGCGCACTGGATGATGGTATACAACTCGCCTGCCTAGTGGAGGGTGGTGGAGGGGGGAGACAAGAGATAGGAGAATGCACTGACGTTGGCAACGAGGTGCGGAGTGCCCGCCGGGATGGGGGAAGCAATGGTAAGACGTGCTCGCTTGTTTCCGATTTCCAAAAATGAATCGTTCACTTTGGCCAAGAGGGAGGGGGCAAACCGAGACCGTTCTGGAGAAGGGGTAAACTTGTCATGCGCTCACCACGTTACCTACCTTGCGGCCGACTGAGCTGCACCACCAGAGGGGGGTGGTCCCAAGTGGTTGTGCGGAGCGTCTGCACCTAAGACCTCCCCACTACGAAGAGGGTCAGAGACCCCACAGCTTGTCTGCGGTACTGGTACAGCACCCGCGCATCCATGGTGTGTGCCCTCCAAGGCACCACCTACGAAGCCTGTGCCATTCGCTGCTGCACACCTATATGTGGGGGGGTGGTTCATTTGTCGGAGGGAGAAATTGGTATTTTGGTACCTCAACACGCGATGTGGAAATGTGGGAGAGAACTTGATACTATGGTTAGCCGTGCATGTGCCATGAGATTGCGTAGTGCGGAGATGCTATTGGAGTCCCTAAAAAAGTGGCACGGGCAGGGCGGGGTCCGCCCTACATCGACGTGGTGAGGGGGGGAGCGAGGACACCACCAACCATACAACATACCTCATGGGGGACAATGCGGTGACACCCATAGGAGCAGGGACGTGCGTCTGGCTTCGTGCAGTCCCCACACTTGGGGGGTGTGAGGACATTCCAGCATCCGCATTAGCATGGCACGCTCCCTTAGTGGCACCATCTGCCAGGCTGTTACTCTCAACAACAGCCATGTCTCCTTGTCTAGGCTCATTCTCGCACCCCTCGCCGGCTGTGTTGTTCGTCCCGTCCTCCGTTGCCATTGATCCTGCAGCGGCCGAAGGGTGGGATTGTATGGAGGGAGTGGGGAGTGTGCTGCGCAATACCTCAGACCCACACCATTTTTGGACTTTGATTGGCCAAGCCACTAACCTTGCTGTTGCATCTGCTCGAACGCGATGCCACGCCTCACTCCTCCCCATGCTGGTCCGACCTTTGCCCTCGGTCGTCCGTGAGCATCCAATTCACAGATTGTGAAGTTGTACCGAAAATCCGCCAACACCCGATTTTCTCACTGTAGTAGGTTAGCGACTCTCTTATTACCTCCTGCCACACGCTTCTTGAAGGTGCGGCCGTACGCCTTGCGGTGCATATCGACCATCTCAGCCTGTGAGCCAGCAGAATCGGGATCTTGGAGGGTGGAAGGGGGGGGGATTGGGGGGGAGGGGGGAAAGGGGGGGGGGAGGAGGGAGAGATGGCAGGAGGGGTTGGGGCGGACATACTGTATGTCATTGATCTTGCCATGAGGACCCCCACAGGCACCTTTCTGCACATTTACTAATCACACGAGTATAGCAGACCCTGACTTGACTCACCCGCGCTCATGGCCGCTTCGATTAGTCATTTAGTGGCATTCGGAGCAGCTTCCGCAAGAAAGTAGAGGACATCTTCTGGGGTCACCAACATCTCTGTGCTCGACAGCACAGAGACACCAATGCGCAAAGCACATAGTAGTGGCCGCATGTTCACCGAGATGTTCACGGATCCTTTCTCAACATCCTTGAGGGCTTGAACACCGGGGTGCTCTCCAGGGGTTGGAGGGTTGCGCGGGTTGGCCTGTGTCTGCGGCCTTTGGGATGGGTAGACATATGGTAGAGGGGAAATGTGTTAGTTGCCTGCCCAAACATGAAACAATAACATGGTTTAGGCGACTCCATAGTGCGCTACAGTGATCGATGTTGAGGTTTCCATAAAGGGAGGGCAGGGGGAGGGGAAGTACACATTAGAAGGAGGGGGGGAGGGGCATAGAGGGGGGATAGAGGGAGGTTGTTTGGACATGTGGGAGAAAAACTTTGGGCTGAGTGAGGGAGAACTGCAGGGAGTATCGCACACGGTGGGGAATTCGCTGGAGAATCGGGTGGGGGTAGGCGGAGGGGGAACAAAGCGGGGTATTGATGACGTCGGATTCAGAGACGCCGCAGGGGGGTAGTAGGCGGCAGTCAGCTGATGGGGTCCGTGGATGAGGAGTCAAGGTTTGGGGGGGGGGGGAGGGGGGGGGGGGCGAGCGAGGGAATGCAAAGGGCGGAGTTCGGCAGTGAGAGGGAGTGTAATCTAGCTGACGGCTTGCGTCTAGCTGATTTATGCGGCGAAGAAAGGTGGGGCAGGGAGGAGGGGAGAAGAAGGGGGATACATTTGAGGAGGCTGTGGGCCTATGAAGGGCGTGGAGAGGGTGACGGGGGGCGAGCAAGAGACCTTGTGAGGCTAAAGAATGGCCATCATACAGGGGTGCAACATGGTATAGTGGCAATGGGCTGGTGCACAACGCACACTTTGGGAGGATTAGCAGTTCACCAGAGATCGCTGCGGAGGGGCGGCGGGGGGGGGGGGACAGGGGGGGAGGGGAGAAAGGGGAGTGTTTGAGTGGGGTGCATAGCGGGGGATAGGGAGTGCCGTAGCTGCTAGGGCTATTTCCCTTGCACGCAGAATGGGGTATGGTGCTGGATTTGTGGGTGGGGGGAATGGAGGTGTTTGCTAGCAACGGGGGGGTTCCCGCCTCACAGGCACGAGTCCTGTAGGGGGTTAGAGCATGGCCGGCGTGGAGGTTTCAGCTGCTAGGCTGAATCTGTCCTCTCTAAACTATTTCCTCTTCAAAACATACAGGGTGACTGATGAAGGCAACATGCAGGGGTGGGCTGGTTGGGGGGGTCTGGGGGCGTGTCTTCATGTGGGTAATTGTGCAACCCTTAGCCGTGGAACCTTGGCCGCTTCCCTTCACACCCCCCACTTCACCCATTTCGTTTCCAGCCCCCTTGTGCTGGTTTCCCTCGTGACATGCCTCTAGTGCGAAGTTGGGTTCACTGCTTTGCCCCCCCCCACACCCCCCCCCCCCCCCTTCCCCTCCCTTCCACCCCCCGCACGCATCTCTGCCGCCAACGATCTGGTCGTAGTTGTACATTTCTCATTGAGGCTATTCCCGAGGTCACCTTTTGAATTCCTCGCCCTTGGCAAAGAGCTCACTTGCGCCGAGGGGCAGTGCCCGCTGGCCTGCGGTTTCCCCTTATCACAAGAATCAAGTGCCCAGCAGGACGGAGCCCGTACCGCGTTCATGTGCAACCGTCGCACCCTCTGCTAAATCCCTAGGAAGACGCCAACATGGCGCATGTGAAGATAAGGGAACATGGGAAGCAGCACAGGGACGGTGCAAAGGAGTGTAACGCAGTCTGCGGGTGCAGGGCGATGGCGATTCAACCTCGGGCCCTCGATCGATCCTCTACATTGAAACAGTCCTGAGAGTGGGGAAGACGGGCGGCTTGGCTGAGAGGGGGAGAAGTATGGCAGGAGCCTAATAGGGGGAGAAGAGAAAAAGGGAGTGGGAATATAGGAAAAGGGGCAAAGAGGGGCGGTTGGGGATAACAGGGTAGGGAGGTGAAAGCAGGGAGGGACAGGGAAAAGGTGGGTTGATTAGTGGGAATCTGGAGGGAAAGGAGAAAACACAGGATTCTATGGGAAAGCAGGGGGTGATGGGGCAAACAGGGGTTGACGGGGAAAAGGCGGGTTGATTGGAGGGAAACAGGGGAGAACAGGGAACACAGGGGAAGATTTGATGGGAGGGCGGGGGGTGATGGGGAAAATAGAGGGTGATGGGGTATCGAGGGGTTGACGGGGAAAAGGCGGGTTGATTGGAGGGAAACAGGGGAGAACGGGGAAAACAGGAGAAGATTTGATGGGAGAGCAGGGGGTGATGGGGAAAATAGGGGGTGATGCGGTTGACGGGCCGCACGCAGCCGCAGAGTCCCGTGCCTAGTCACAGAAGTCCGCGCCGTGTCACAGAACCCCGCGCCTTGTCACTGCATTCTGCGCCTAGTCACAGAATCCCGCGCTTAGTCACGGAATCCCGCGCCCAGTCACAGAATCCCGCGCCTAGTCACAGAATCCCGTGCCTAGTCACGGAATCCCACGCCTGGTCACAGAATCCCGCGCCTAGTTACGGGATCCCGCGCCTAGTCACAGGATCCCACGCCTAGTCACAGGATCCCGTGCCTAGTCACAAAATCTCGCGCCTAGTCACAGAATCCCGCGCCTAGTCACAGAATCCCGTGCCTAGTCACAGAATCCCGTGCCTAGTCACAGAATCCCGCGCCTAGTCACAGAATCCCGCGCCTAGTCACAGAATCCCGCACCTAGTCACAGAACTCCGCGCCTTGTCGCTGCAGTCTGCGCTTAGTCACAGAATCCCGCGCCTAGTCACAGAATCCCACGCCTAGTCACAGAGTCCTGCACCTAGTCACAAAATCCTAGTGATCCTTGTGACATTGAATGTGCGCCTATGCTCCCGTGCTCCTTGCCCCGTATCTACCTGACGCAAAGTCATGTGTGGCATCAGCGTTTCCGTCCCCCGCGTTCTGAGTTTTTCTCGCTTCGGTTTCAGCCCGTCAACTCTGCCTTGGACGTTCCAAGTTCGCGGCGCGGAACTATCGCTGGATAGGTTCACGCTCAGCGTCCGCACCCGTCCAGTACTATACGTGTAAGCGCCTTCGTCGCGCTTATTGCACTGTTCGGATTCCGCTTCAAAATGCCAGTGTGCTGCTTGTTCCCTTGTACTAACAGAGGTTTGCGTAGGCCTGTTACGTTGGTGAAGGGTGGAATAGTGTCATGTCAACTGCCTCATTTGCCATCACCTGGAGCAGTAGCGTGTTTCCCATTTTGCTTCCTACAGGACGTGCTGGTCCCCTCTCGGGATTGCGTACGACATTCCACCTGTTTCGCGTGCTTCCTTTTTTTTCGCCTCACGCCCATTCCCGAAATCCGTTTCGTTAAATTTAGCGTGCACTGTATTTAGGGTCAGGATTCTTGTCTTCCAACCATTCTGAACTGGGGCTTTAATCACGACCTCACTATTGCATTACTCAATCCAGAGATTATCATAACAGTGCTCCTGCTCTGAAATGGTGGCAGTGAAGTGGGCAACCAGAGGTGATGTCATTGATGATACCATAGCTTTTTAGAACTCTCCCCTAGTAGGCATCAAGCAAGCAAGGGCCCAGCTGGTCCAGAGGATGAGCAGGGTTGGGGTTGTGTTGCAAGAACTCTCAAAAGAACTCTCAAAACTTCTTCGGGAATTCGCAAACTTTGCCAGACATGACAATGGGATGGGGGGGGGGGGAACTGAAGCAGGTAGGCCGCAAGGGCTGGCAGGCAGGCAGGCACAGAGACAGACAAAACAAGACACCGCTCCTCTTGAGTCGACTCGGAATGCCTGCAAAACTGCTCCAGCTTTTAAACGGTACCATAGTAGAGAGTGAGTGACCAGAGCTGGAGCCAGTCACGAGGACAGGAGTGAGTCATGTTGTGACCAGACCAGGGTCGAAGCAATCTGGCCTCTAGGCCCCGCCTGGCCACGCACAGAGTTCAGCCGCTTGGTTTGATATTTTGCTCTCTCAAGAGGCAGGCCCCACGCCATTCACGAGGATGGGGAGCCGAAGTAGGCCTCGAGGGACGGCACCGAGACAACGTTAGCTGCCACTACACCGGTTGCTGCAGGGGTGATGTGCAGAATGTACTTCACAAAACGCTGGTGGATATTGGGAACAGGGAAGGAGGGGGGGTGAGTGGGGGTGGTGGAGGGGATAGGAAGAGTGGGGGAGAGTGAATGTGAGGGTCTGTGTGTGCGTGTCATTGAGCTACCCTTCAATCAGCACCGCCCCCCTCTGCAAACTCCTCTACCATTGCCCACCCACCTGGAGTTGCTCCATGAGCTACCCTTGAATAAGCACCACCCACCTGCGCACTCCTGTCACAGCACCCACCCACCTTGAGTTGCTCCACAGTGGCATAAAATCAAGCGCCTCTGAATGCCAGTCCGGCTCCAGCTGCCCTCTCTCCCCTCTACACTGCTTCAAACCGCCCACCCACCTTGAGTTGCTCCACAGAGGAATTGAATCAAGCGCCTCAAAGTGCCAGTCCTGCTACAGCTGCCCTCCCCTCCCCTCCCCTCTACACTGCTCTCACAGGCAGCTCCCACCACCCACCCACCTTGAGCTGCTCCACAGTTGAATCAAACGCCTCAAAGTGCCAGTCCGGCTCCAGCTGCCGCACGAAGGACGCCACACCCACGTCCTTCTCGCAGAACAGCACCTGGGGGCGGGGGCAACGAGGGGGGAGGTGGGGAGGGGGGGGGCAACGAGGGGAGGAGTGCGGGGCGGGGGGGCGGGGGGCCGGGGGAAAGGGGGGTGCAAGACGTTTCGAGGGGTCTCAATAACTAGCTGCCGCACGAACGATGCCACGCACACGTCCTTCTGACAGAACAGCACCTGGCGACGTGGGCAACGAGGGGCGGGTGGCCGGGGGGCCAGAGGGGCGGGGGAACAGGGGGAACAAGGCGGTTTGAGGTGTCTCAATAACTAGCTGCCGCACAAACGACGCCACGCGCATGTCCTTTTGAGTCGACTCAAAAGGCACATGTCCTTCTTGCAGAACACCTGGGGGCGGGGGGCGAGTGGAGGAGGGAGAGGAGGTCGAAGGGCGGGTGGGGTGGGGGGGGGGACTAGGTGTTTGGAGGTGGTGGAGAATCAGCTGCCGCACAAACGATGCCCACGCCTATGCCCCCTCACAGAACAGCACTTGGGGGCATGGGACGGAGGCGGGGGGAGGGATTCTCTAAGCTGTGGGGGTTTCAGCAGGTGGGATGTGGGGGTTTCAGCAGGTGGGATGTGCGGGTTTCAGCAGGTGGGATGTGGGTGTTTCAGCAGGTGGGATGTGGGGGTTTCAGCAGGAGGGTTGTGGATGTTTTTACATCTACCCAACACTGGTTCCTGTACCTTTTCTCGGTTGATGGGTCCTGGGGAACCATTTGGGAGGGAGAAGAGGTTGGCTTCCTCCAGTGCTGAGAGAATGGTGGCCTGTAGGAGAGGGGGGAGGAGGGAGGGGAGGTTTGTTGAGTGGGAAATTGGGGGGAGGGAGGGAGGGGGAGAGAGCGGAATGGTGGAGAGGGGGAAGGGGAGATAGTGAGCAGAAAGTGAGAGATGATGAGGAATTGGCTGGCTGGAACATGAGAGAATGATAGGCACAAAGTCAATGCAGAAACAGGATGACACAAGTAGTGTGTGCCGAGTGCCGCGTGCTGCGTGCTGACTGCTGTGTGCCATGTGCCGTGTGCCGTGTGCCATGTGCCATGTGCCATGTGCCGTGTGCCATGTGCCGTGTGCCGTGTGCCGTGTGCCATGTGCCATGTGCCGTGTGCCATGTGCCGTGTGCCATGTGCCGTGTGCCATGTGCCGTGTGCCATGTGCCGTGTGCCATGTGCCGTGTGCCATGTGCCGTGTGCCATGTGCCGTGTGCCATGTGCCGTGTGCCATGTGCCGTGTGCCATGTGCCGTGTGCCATGTGCCGTGTGCCATGTGCCGTGTGCCATGTGCCATGTGCCATGTGCCATGTGCCATGTGCCATGTGCCGTGTGCCATGTGCAATGTGCCATGTGCCGTGTGCCATGTGCCATGTGCCATGTGCCATGTGCCGTGTGCCATGTGCCAAGTGCCATGTGCCGTGTGCCATGTGCCGTGTGCCATGTGCCATGTGCCATGTGCCATGTGCCGTGTGCCATGTGCCGTGTGCCATGTGCCATGTGCCATGTGCCGTGTGCCGTGTGCCATGTGCCATGTGCCATGTGCCGTGTGCCATGTGCCATGTGCCGTGTGCCATGTGCACCATTCCTCTAAGCCAGGAGGAAGAACGCGATATACCAGTGCGACAACGATTGTCGACGCGCCTAGAAAATCACGAGGCACAGCGCGATAACACCACTTGTTAAATGAGCCACATGCAATGCAAGCATGAGGTCCCAGGGGTCCTTACTCGTGGGAAGAGCAGCATGAAAGAGATATGTGTGTGTCCACCATTCCATTCCGGAAAGGCAAGGATCGGCACAAGAAACTCACACTCACAACTACTAACTGTAGTCTACAATCACAATCACACTCCACTCCCCCCACCCTCACTCTCCCTCCTCTCCCCCCCAACCCCCCAAGCCTCCCCACAGACGAGTCACGGCCATCATGCCAGCCGCAAACAGCAGCAGTCTCACCCCTGGCCACGGGGTCGCCGGCCTTTTTTTTATTTTTTATCTCAAAGAAGGCCTGGACAAAGCAGCCCCACCCCTGACCATGCATCCCCCTATGGCCACAAGCAGCAGCCCCGTCCCTCACCTTGCTCGCTATCGTCGCTGTGCAGCGTGCACTTGAGCCATGAGGCACACACACCCGCTAGACTCACTCCCATTGGAACCACAAACCACAAACAGCAAACCGCTCTCCGCCTCTCTCATCCCCCTCCCCTCTTCCCCCCCCCCCCCCCCGGCTACAAGCGCCCCTGACCTCGCTCTCGTCACTGTGCACTTGCGCCATGAGGTTCACATCCGCTAGCCTCGCCACCTCGCTCCCATTGCAACCACAGACCACAAACCACAAACCGCAAACCGCTCCCTGCCTCTCTTTCCCCCCCCTCCCCCCTCCCCCCCCCAGCTACAAGCGCTCCTGACCTCGCTCTCGTCACTGTGCACTTGCGCCATGAGGTACACATCCGCTAGCCTCGCCACCTCGCTCACTATCTCCACCGCTCCCGGACGCAGGGAGGCTCCGGTCTGGTCAGGTGGCGAGAGGGAGTAGAGGAAGAAAGGAAAGGGGGAGGCGGAGAAGGAGGGGATAGGGGTAAAGGGTGGGGTGGGGGGAAGGGGGGGGAAAAGGGGGGGAAAGGGGGGGGGGGGTGAGGGGTGGAGGAGGGGAAGAGGGAAAGTGAGTCAAAGGTGTAGAGAAAAGGGCAGAAAAGGATGAGTGTGGAATGTTGGGAAAGGTCACAGGTGGGAAAGGGTGAGCATGGGGGCTACTTGTTGTAGCTCTTCTTTTGAGTCAACTCCAACGTAGAGAAGGATGAGATGGGAGCAGGACGCTGGGATCGGGAGGATGGGTGGGATAGGTGGGATAGGTGGGATCGGTGGGATCGGTGGGATCGGTGGGATAGGTGGGATCGGTGGGATCGGTGGGATCGGTGGGATGGGTGGGATGGGTGGGATGGGTGGGATCGGTGGGATAGGTGGGATGGGTGGGATCGGTGGGATAGGTGGGATCGGTGGGATCGGTGGGATAGGTGGGATGGGTGGGATCGGTGGGATGGGTGGGTGGGATAGGATAGGTGAGCATGGGGCATACTTGTAGCTCTTCTGGGGATGTCTGGTTCAGCACCACGCCTAGCATCTGAATGGTGACCTGCCGGAGAGAAAGCCGGGAAAAAGGGGGAGGGGAAGGGGAAGGGAGGGAGGGAGGGGAAGGGGGAGTGAGAGAGTGCTTGCTTGTGTGACCTCGAGAGATAGAAAGAGAGGGAGAGAGACAACCATGCAAAAAAGGCGCCATGTGGCTTAACAGATGCACGAACAAGGGAGAAAAATGATGGGTGCAGGGGAAAGCGGAAGGAGGAGAGAAAGAAAGTTTGGGGGGGGGGGGAAGGGGGGAGGGAAAGGGGGAAGGGAAAGGGGGGGGGGGGGAGGGGGCAGGGCGGGGTGGGGGGGAAGGGGAGGGGAGAGAAAGGGGCAGGCAAGAGAGGAATGGTGGGGTGGGGAGGACGGTGCAGTGCAGCAAGGGCGATTCTTAAGTCGACTAGAAAATCATAGACAGATGGGGCGGCAAGCGAGGGTGTATGGTACGGTGGGTGAGTCAGCCTTAGCCATCCCTCTCATCTCATCACTCTTCCTTCCTTGTCGTTCCTCCCCTTTCAATCAACCCCTCCTCCAGATCATGCCTCCCCTCCCCCTCATCTCATCCGCTTCCGTCCCCCTCGCTTGTTTCTCATCAGCCAATTCATACATCCTCGAGTGGTTTCTCCACAGTTACACACACCCCCACCCGCCCCCCCACCCCCCACCCCACCACCACACACACACCTCCGTCCCTCATCAGCCCCCTCCTCCTCCCCCCCCACACACGAGCAACAATTGCCCCCGCCCTTCCCCCTTGCCCCGCGCACTCACTCTCTTGCCGCCATTCAGCTGCTGCCTCACTGTGTGCGCCAGACGCGACTGGGCAGGGAGAGGGGCGGGGGCGGGGGCGGGGGCGGGGGAGGTGGAGGGGGAGGGGGATGGAGAGAGGGGAGAGAGAAATTAAGGGGGTGAAATTGCATGGCATGGCTTGGCATGGAATGACATGGAATGACCTAGGATGGATCACGGAACACTGAAAAGAGACCAGCAAGGTATGGCACAGGGCAGAAAGGAGTACACATGGAGGGTCTCAATTCAAACCAATTCAAACCACTTCAAACCAATGCAAACCAACGGTTTCCAATTCAAACGCTCATGCCATGAATCTGGAGCGACTTGCCTACAGCTGAGGCTCGGACCAAACCTACAAGCAAGGCTGGGACCGAACCTGGGGCACCTCTTCTTGCCGAGCCGATTCCTTTCTCAAGCCACCTCTCGACCCTCCAAAATCGTCCGCCTCCCTGTACGCCTCCCCGGCGCCTGATCTCCCCGCGCCTCTTTGCTGCGCCTGGCTGATCGCCGCGGACGCGCCTGTAGCCCGCGCAACCTCCCCCGCCCCGCTTCCGCCGCCTCCCCCCGCGCCCGCGCCTGCTGTTCCGGAGGGCCCCGCCTCGTCGCGTTTGCGCGCGGAAGACGGGTGGGGAGGCGAGCGCGCGTGCGGAGCGCGGCCGGAGCGGGCGGGGCGGGGGCGGGAGAAGCGCCAGGCGATTAGAATGGCGAGGGCAAACCCCGCGACTGCGCCCATCGTTGTTGCGCGCTGGGGGATGGGCGGAGGAGCGGGGCGCGATGGGGGAGACGGTGACGGGAGAGACGGGCGAGAGGTAGAGAGGGGAGGGGAGGGGAGGGGAGGGGAGGGAGAGGAACGGGGGGTTTGGGGGGGGGGGGGGGGGGGGGGGGGTTGTGGGGAGGTGGGTAAGGTGTGGTTGAGGAGAGGTGGGGAGAGGGGAAGAGGAAGGGGATGGGGGGGGGGGGGGGGGGGGGGAAGGGGGAGTAGGATAGGTGTTTCTGGTGAGACACATATGGTAACATGAGATGCAAAAGAAGATGGATAGGCACGAATGCCGGTCAACTCCAGAGAATCCAAATGAAGCGAGACTGCACAGGAAGAGACGAGCCCCCAATCGGATAGATCAGGCCTGGCTTGGCTTGGCTTTGCCCCAAGAGCTTATTATCATCACATCGCGTACAGATAGGCCCGACAGCCTACGAGTTACAACAGGATTCAGCTGGACTGTTATCCGTAGCCTATTATAGCTGTGATAAGCCCGAAGCACTCACATCGAGAGTGCGAATGGCGTGCACGACGTGTTGCAGCCTCGGCGAAAGCGAAGTCCCGAGACGATGTAACCACGCCAGCAGCGCGTCGATCGGCGACGAGCCCATGGCGCTGCTCGCGGCGTGAGGAGAGAGAAGGAGGAGGAGGAGGCGGATGAGGCGGAGGCGGATGAGGCGGAGGCGGATGAGGCGGAGGAGGCGGAGGGGGGGGAGGAAACAGTGGCAGAGGCTGAATCGTAAGTCTATTGATGCAAGAAACGGGAGGAAGGGGAAGTCGCCTTTTTCGCAAGAAACTTCGCCGCGTCTCCGCGTATTGATGCAAGCACTCGATCCACCTGTAGCTAAAACAGGCCTGTTCAGTTCGGTCGTAAACGGTTAGGTGTGGTGGAGGAAGATGACAAGGAGCGGGCCGTGGTCAGCTGGAATCGCGTGAGCGTCGGCCTTCTATCGCATCCCAGTTGCTACCCAACCAAACGCGCCATTAATCGACGATCCATGGGCTTTCTGACGGGGCGAACGAAACTTGTGGCTCGCTACGAAACTTGTAGCTCGCTACGCCCGACGCTCATGAGTCATCGCGAGACAGGAGAATACTAGGCGGACAGGACAGAACAGGACAGGACACCCGAACCAAACCCAGCCCCTGATCGGTTGGCCGCATTCTGGAACCCGGATGGTGTCGGGCAATCTCCTAGGGTTGGCTCGGAATTGGCTTAAAGCCAAAAACAATCTTTTTAATCACACCAAACCTCCTGGAATAGAGGTGTGTACCGACCACCAGAACAGGAAAGGCTGGATTGCGGAATGAGGAAAGGCCACCTCGCTGCTGACTCGGGCGAAATCGTGCGAACCACCGGTCCATGTGAATTCCAGCATTTTTGCAAGAACAGCTGGGAATAGTGAAGAGTGGGGCAATCCAAACCCAATAACTCATGCCCTTATTTCGTAAATGGAAACGTCGAATATCCACTACCAGCCTGTGTTTGAGGGCTTGTTTCTAGTAGGTATCATCCCGAAAAAGTGTCATCCGAGACATGTTGGAAACCCATCTCAACTGCTATTTTTGAAACCTCAACGGTTGCGATGGGTTTCCAAATTCTCGGATGACACTTTCTCGGGATGACACCTACTAATTCGGGCTCCGACCGCTAAGAAAACAAATTCAGGGTCGTATTTCGATATCAAGCCAGATGCAGGGCCTGGACAAAAAAGAAAAAAGAAGAAAAAAAGAAAGCAAGATTTGACAGCACAATTTAAAGCCCAGTTTCCCCCCTCCCTTTTCGTGACCCCGATCGTGGCGGGCAGTTTTGGTAATTCGACAGCTCAGAGGCGTCAGTTACATCCGGCAATTTCGCACATAAACCAGCCCAACTTCTCTCACTACCTAACCTGGCGAGTCAACGCACGGAATGAGGAAAGCTTGTAGCGGATTCCGCATTCCGCATTCCGTATTCAAGAATATCGACCTACTAATCAGGGCCCTAATGTTTGGAAAAATGTTGGCAGAATGTTCTGTACAGTCTTGGCAAAATGTTTCGACGATGGTTCTTCCTAAAAACTGTTGATAGTGTGCTTCTTTTCTGGGAAAATGACCACTGTGTAGTACCGTAAAACACTACAGAAGTCGTGAAATAAGGGCGTGTCCCCAAAAACCGTTCATCCGTTTTTGACACGTGGAGCCGTTGACGGAACGCAATGTGAATCGATTTTGAAACAGATCCCGATTTGGGAACAGATCCGAAATGAAGGGTGCAGTTCGAAATGACAGCACCGAGACCAGCACCGATAGGGAGCGGGTAACGGGATCGGGATGTGTGTGTAACAAAATGAGCGCCAATCAGCGCAGCGGGGTTACGTTCTTCGCTACTTACGTGCGAGGCAACAAAGTCGCTAGAGAATTTCGCTACAGATGGTGCTGGTACTGGTTAGCAAACTAGATTTTTGTGCCGTCTATTTTTGTCGTGCGGAGGTACCTGGAAACGCGCGCTGGTGTCCGCTAATTTCGGGTGTGAGCTGGGCGCGTCTAGTTCGGGCATGTTTTTATGGTTACACAACTAAAAGTGGTAACTGAACTCGGTGTTCAACAGAGCACGTACATTAGTGACACGCCCTAATGATATGGGTTCAGATAGTTTGTGGTCAGCAATCTGTTCGTCCTTTACGGTACAGTACGGTTCGTTTTACCAACCATACACGAACCCAGGAAATTGTGGTGTCGAGTCATCAGCTATTTCTGCCGCCTGACTGATGACTGCTTGCGTGCGCTTCATCAATTTCTGTCGCATAACGAGTGCCTCGCCTTTGTTCGTCGTTCAACCTCATCAAAAGCGTGCAATTGACCTGTTTTTTTTTTTTTTTTTTTTTTTTTTTTCGCCCCGCGCGTCTGCGCACGGCTGGCGAGGGTATCCTGCCTCCATTCATCCGTGCCAGTCTTCGGCTGCCGTCGCCCTCCTGTCGCCCGCCTGTCGCCCGCCTGTCGCTCACCTTTCACGCGCCTTTCGCACGCTTGTCGCCCGAGCTCCGATTCTCTGCCCCTCTCGTTCGCCCGTCAGTCCCGATGCTCTCGCGCATCGCCTCGAGCCTGCGGCAGAGCGTGCAGCGGCTCACACGTGGCGGGGGACCCGCGGTTTTCGCGGGAACTGACGAAGCTGGTAACAAGTACTTCTACGAACCGGCGGAGGACTCGGAGTCGCGACCTAACGGTGTGTTGAGGGGGCGAAGGGACGGGAGGGGGACCAATGGAGGGGAGGGGGGTTGATTGTTTTACGAAGGGGGGAAGGGGGGTCGATTGATTTTAAGGTGGTGCTGTCCGCTATGTTAGATAGTTTAGAATGACATCCCCGGTTGGAGTAACAGAACCTCCCTTTCCCTCCCTCCCTCCCTCCCTCCCTCCCTCCTTCCCTCCCTCCCTCCCTCCCTCCCTCCCTCCCTCCCTCCCTCCCTCCCTCCCTCCCTCCCTCCCTCCCCCCCTCCCTCCTTCCCTCCCTCCCTCCTTCCCTCCCTCCCTCCCTCCCTCCCTCCCTCCCTCCCTCCCTCCCTCCCTCCCCCCCCTCCCTCCCTCCCTCCCTCCCTCCCTCCCTCCTCCCTCCCTCCCCCCCCTCCCTCCCTCCCTCCCTCCCCTCCCTCCTCCCTTGCGTCCCTCGCACCTTCCTCCGTCTCTCCCCAAATTCCCCAAAAGTCATTCCCCACATCCACCACCCCTCAAGTCACCCTCCTGCCCCTCCCTCTGTACCGCCCAATTCCCCCACCCCCAGCGGCGGCGCAGAGACAGTGGGCGGAGTACAGGGATCAGGCGGACTGTTGAGTTCACTCAAACGGCCCCTCCTGTCGTCTCCTCTCACTCTCTTTCCCGTCCCCCCACCCCCTCCAGCCACGGAGAGGCGGTGGGTGGAGCACAGGGATCAGGCGGACTGTTGAGTTCACTCAAACGGCCCCCCTTCTCCCCTCCCCTCACTCTCTCCCATTCCCCCCACCCCCTGTACTGAGACGTCTGAATACTTTCCTCATACTCCCCCTCATCTCCTCTCACTCTCTCCCATTTCCCCCACCCCACCCCCTGCAGCGGCGGAGAGGCGGTGGGTGGAGTACAGGGATCAGCAGGACCCAACCAAGCTGCCAGGTGGGCTGCGCGGGGGGGTGGAGTGGGGATGGAGGCTCGAGCGAATGGAAAGAGAGGGGGGGAGGGGGGAGAGAGAGAGGGAGTAGGGAGGTGTTGCGGTGTGGGGGGGGGTTAGGGATGGTGTCTCTGGGTGGGGGGGTCGAGGTGGTGTCGCTGTGTGTTGTTCGGGGGTGAGGGGGAGTGGTTCTTGCTTGTGGGGGAGGGGAGGGGGTGGAGTGGAGTTGAGGGGGATGGGAGGGGGATGGGAGGGGAGCGAGGGCTGTTATGTCTCTAAATGAGTGCTGTAGATTCTGACGGCAAGAGTTCAGGCCCACTCCAGGGTCTGATGCTTTTGAGTCGAATTGAACACCAAATAGGTGCCATTGTGTCAATACGTGGCAGCAACTTTGTGTGATGACACCTTGTGTAAATCGTAGAGTGCTTGTAGAAAAAACTCTTGGATTAAAAATAGGTGGCAACCGGTTTCGGCTTGAAGCCGTTATGTCTCTAAATGAGTGCTGTAGATTCTGACGGCTAGAGTTCAGGCCCACTCCAGGGTCGGATACTTTTGAGTCGACTCAAAAGCAGATACAACAACCACTGCTTCCTCAACTCTCTCGCTTTTCCCCGTTTGCCTCCTTCTCATCCCCTCCCATCCCATCCCCTCCCCTCCCATGCCATCCCATCCCATGCCATCCCATCCCCTCCCATCCCATGCCCTCCCATCCCATCCCCTCCCATCCCATGCCCTCCCCTCCCATCCCCTCCCATCCCATCCCACCCCCTCTCATCCGACCCATATTCCTTGATCCGAGTCCTCGTCCTTGCTCTAGTCTGACTCCTTTGTGTCTCGCATCTTCCGTTGACACGTCTCAAACCTCAGTTAGATTCCCTTCTCTGAGTCCTCGGCCGTGCTCTATTCCGACCCAAGCATGTTCTGATCCAACTCCTCTGCGTCCCATGCCTTCCACTCCCATGCCACTCCCGTATCACTCACATGTGCCCATGACCATTGCTGCTCTGATACCAGTGGAGTGGTCCAGCTGGCTCTCCCGCTCTCGGCGCCATGCCCCCACACCCGATGTGCGTGCTATGCCATGTCCTGCCATGCCATGCCCGCACGAGTCACACCTGTTGTGCGAGCCATGCGCATCAAGCCACCTCCTGCCTTCAAGCTGATCATGTAGCACAATCTCTTGTTTGTGGCCATGATGTGGCCATGATTTGGCCATGATGTGGCCATGATGTCTGATGTAAGCCACGTTTTCTGCCATCGTCCCTCTTGCCGATGCTATTGTCGCCATCGAAGCATCTTGTGGCTTGCGCCAAATTGTAGCTTGCACTCGCATCATCTTATCATATCTCGCTCGCATCATCTTGAAAAAGCTCGCTCGCCATGTATTGTTGTGAGCAGGAAATGGCAGCGTTGGCACAGCACCGGGCGATAGTGAAGCAGCGAGCAAAGCGTGAGTTGGTTGGGAGAGTGGGAGGGTGAGGGGAGCATGGGCCAGGGGGCTGAGAGGAGGTGAGTGGAGGTGAGCGGAGGTGTGAGGGGGTGTGAAGGGGTGAGGGGAGGTGAGAGGAGGTTTGAGGGGGTGATATGGAGTGGGGGAAGGAGTGAGAAAGAGAGACAAAGTGTGAGAGTGGGGTGAGAGGGAAAACCTTTTTTTGTTGTTGCAACGACGTCTGTGGGTGTATACTTAGGAACCAGCTTGTTCGTAGTTGGATTTCTTCCTTTGGTGGATTCCTTGGCCCTCCAAATGCATCATGGAACATCGCCCGCGCGCGCGTGTGTGTGCGCGCGCGCACACATGTTTGGGTGTGGGCGTGTATGTGTGTGGGGTGCATGTGCGGGTGCGTGTTTGCGTGCGTGCCGCCCGGCCCACGTGTGCATACATTTATGTGTGCATGTGTGCGTGTGAGCATGTGAGCATGTGTGCATGTGTGCGTGTTTGCATGTGTGCATGTGTGCGCATGTGAGCATGTGTGCATGTGTGCGTGTTTGCATGTGTGCATGCGTGCGTGTGAGCACGTGAGCATGTTTGCATGTGTGCATGTGAGTATGTGTGCATGTAAGCACGTGTGCGTGTGAGCGCGTGTGCATGCGTGCATGTGTGCGTGTGTGCGTGTGAGCATGTGTGCTTGTGTGCATGTGTGCGTGTGAGCATGTGTGCATGCGTGCATGTGAGCATGTGTGCGCATGTGTGCATGTGTGCATGTGTGCATGTGTGCATGTGTGCGTGTTTGCATGTGTGCATGTGTGCATATGAGCATGTTTGCATGTGTGCATGTGAGCATGTGTGCATGTGCGCAGTGTGGGAGGAGGAGGAGGAGCGACGTCGATTCAGGGAGAAGAGTCTGCAGCATGACATACAAAGACACGAGGGTGCAGGTGACACGAGGGTGCAGGTGACACGAGGGTGCATGTGACACGAGGGTGCATGTGACACAAGGGTAGGCATGAGCTAAGGGCCACGCCGGGCGCTGCCTCGTCACGGCCCGTCTTTGGACGGTCCATCGAGGCGATGCGATGTGCCGGGGACGGGCCTCCGGGCCAGGAGGCCCGTTTTCGGGCTGGAATGCGGTCCATTGGGGGGCAGCGCGAATCGGGGTTGGGGGGGGGGGGGGGGGGACATCACAGAAATGTCACCAAGTGTTCTCTCGGACTTGCATACTTCTGATGAGGGTCCACAGGAATGCTCCTCCTTCTGTCTCACAAAAATTCCGACTTGCACGGGCAGCCTCCCTTAAAAGTGCAACCTTGCACTGCCATCCTCCCATCCCACTCACCTTTCTCCCATCTCACTCACCTTCCCTTCTCGCCTCCCCTCTTCTCTCACTTTCCTCCTTTCCCCCCTCTCCCCGCCACTGTTTCCTTCCCTCCCCCCCCTCCTCCCCCCCCCCCTCACCCCGCCAGAAGACCTGGACGCGGAGGGAGCAGTGCGCATGACTCACCGCCTGTCCCAGGCCATGCTAGACGTCTCAAAACTCCCCTCCCCTGCGCACCCCTCCCCTCCCCTCCCCCCCTCCGCCCCAGAGGACCTGGACGCGGAGGGAGCAGCGCGCATGGCTCACCGCCTGTCCCAGGCCATGCTGCACCGCGTGCGCTCCGCTACCCCCTGCCCTCCGCCCCCCACTGCTTCCAACCCCCCCTCGGGTGCCCCCCATCCGCCGCCCCCCACAACCCCCAATTGACGCTCCCCTGAGGTGGGGGGGGAATGGTAGTGGGGAGTGAGATTGGGTGATGCAAGGGCAAGGCGGGTATGTGAGGAGTGAAGCTGGCAGTGCTCTCGCTGATGGGACGGCTGGAAGGGGCTTTGGTGTGGGTGCTGGTGTGGGTGTTGGTGTGGGTGTGCGTGTGGGTGCTGCCAAGCTGGTGTGCGTGTGGCTGTGGCTGTGGCTGTGGGTGCTGCCAGGCTGGTGTGCGTGTGGCTGTGGCTGTGGCTGTGGGTGCTGCCAGGCTGGTGTGCGTGTGGCTGTGGCTGTGGCTGTGGGTGCTGCCAAGCTGGTGTGCGTGTGGGTGTGGCTGTGGCTGTGGGTGCTGCCAGGCTGGTGTGCGTGTGGGTGTCAGAAAAACGGCTGCAAGGGGGGACGAGGTAGGATGGGGAGGGCATGAGCCTGAGGTGTGGGTGGATGCCTCCGTCCTCCACCCTCCACCTCGTTATGCCGCATCCCCTCCACTGTAGTACTACCAGTAGCATCTGGCTGTGAATGCATGCTATGCATGTACCTTATGTGCACCGCACATACCATATCTCACCCTTGAGTCGACTCACCATCTTGTCTCTGGAAAAATAAACGCTTTCTTGGAAACGAAAGCTGTGCAGTGCAGTCACCACCCCCCTGACTCAAACAGATCAGGTGGAAAAACCACCACTGCATCATACCAAATTAGAATGAACTATAGTTTTCAGACATTTCATACATCCCCAGTAACCATCTCTATTTAGGGCACCATAACACGAACTGGCTAGCAGTCAGTAACGGAGTTGCTCTGCTAGCAGCTACTGTAACGCTCTGTAACTATCATACGGCCCAAACGCTGAATTGGGTCGGCCAATGAGGGGTGTTGTGCGTGCTTGAGCGAATTCAAGGGAAGGTGGGTGTTTTTCCTGTGCTTTGTGATATGAGCAGTGTTAACAGAGTACTCATAATTTAGAGGTAGTTTTACATCACATCACATCACATCACATCACATGCGGTACAAGCTTTGCTTTGGCGAGCAGCCTACGGAGCTTGTCGTACCCATCCCATGGGACGGTCTTATTGAGAATTCTCAAAAACTCCCCGCCAACCCCCCCTTTCCCACCTCTGCCTTGTTCCATGATTCGTCTTGTGTTTCCAACGGTGTCTCCAACCATGATTCCAACCACCCTTTCCACTGAGGGGTCCAACGGCAAAGAATAATGGGCCCATAGCTACTTTGAGTCGACTCAAAAGCAAATAAATTGGGCCCATGGCTATTTTTTAGTTGATTCAGGCAACTGGATGGGCCCATAGCTACCAGTAGCGCCCCTCGAGCATTGACTGGCTTGCCGTGTTGTCTTAGTTCTGGTAGGCAGTACAACAGGCCGCTCACAACCCTCATTCCCATGCATCAAACTGAACTGCGATCTCTCCTCCATGTCATCACTCCCAATGCTTCCTCGAATGCCACCGCCACCGCTGCCCCCGCTGCCACCGCTGCAACCGCTGCCACCGCTGCCCCCGCTGCCACCGCTGCCCCCGCTGCAACCGCTGCCCCCACTGGCCCCGCTGGCCTCACTGCCCCTGCTCGGAATCTTGCAGCTCCCCCCATGGCCCTCCACACAGCTTCGCTTGAGGCTCAACGGCTTGTCCGCCGACTGGTGGTACGTGGCCTGGGCGTGTGCTGCCAGGCGCAGGCGGTGCCGCTCGAGAATCACACGGTTGTGCACGATCGCAGCAGAGAGCGTCGTGCGCAGCGCATTGTGGTGGCACTTGTGAGACTCGCGAGATTCTTGACACATGCCTGCAGCAGGGTGCTGTGACGCATGACATGGCTGGAGGGACGTCTGGAGGGACGGCTGGAGGGACGTCTGGAGGGACGGCTGGAGGGACGGCTGGAGGGATGGCTGGAGGGACGGCTGGAGGGGCCTGAGGGGCAGAACGGGTTGAAGTGGCTGAAATGGCTGGAGATTGGTAGGCAGTGGTGGTACTGGGGGCTCGAGAGGGCGGAGAGAGGTGGCCGAGAAAACCTGGGACAGTGCAAGCGTCTCCAGTCTGTTGTAGCTGCCCCTAGAAGCTATGGCAGGAGCAGAGGCAGTGGTGGTGGTGGCGGTGACTGCAGCAGCAGCAGCAGAAGCAGCAGCAGCAGTGGTGGTGGTGGTGGTGATGGTTCCAGGAGCGCTGTCAGGAAAACCGCAATAACCGTTGGAGCGGGTAGCGTTGCCATCAGGGGCAGAGAGGCAAGGAGGTGGGAGGGAGTGCACGTCAGCAGGGCAGTGCAGAGGAGGATTGAGAGGAGTGAGAGAGCTTGGTTCGGAGGGGGGTGGTGATGGACAGTGGAGGCTGTTGTGGTCGAAGAAACCAATAGCACGAGCGCCGGCAAACGAGCCAGGAGCAGCGGCAGCACCAGCACCAGCACCATCAACAGCGCCATCAGCAGAACAAGCAGCATCACCATCAACACCACCACCACCACCACCACCACCACCAGCAGCAACAGCAGCAGCAGCAGCAGCAGCAGCAGCAGCAGCAGCAGCAGCAGCAGCACCAACAGCAGCACCAGCACCAGCACCAGTACCAGTACCAGCACCAGCACCATCACCAGCAGCAGCAGCAGACACGAGAGGATCAAGTGAGCCACCAATGCGTGTGGCCGTTTCCTCCTCCGGCATCTCCACTGATTCCCACGCCAGCAAGTCCCACGGCAGAGGCAGAGGCAGAGGAGAGCAGTCCAGAACTTCGACACCAGGCAGCAGCAGCCCAGTACTGGTGGCAACGGCAGCGGCAGAAGGAGCGGCGTCCAGCCTATGTTGGAAAAAACGAAAATTTCAGTTTGCGTTTTGCGTTTATACGCGAGCAAAATTCGTACGCTGCGTTTTGGGTGTAGATTCGCCAAAATACGCACGGGCTGACTACAAAAAAAAAAACAAAAATTTCCGCGACAGTTGCGACAGGGCGAAACTATTCGGGGGTTTCGCACATCGCGAAATCAACATAATTTCGAATTTCAAAGCCGAAGCGCACCGAACCCCCTATCACACCGCTAACCACCCCACTCCACCCCGTCATTCCCACACCTCTCCCAACCCAATGTCCAACCAACTCCCTTTTCCCCAAACAAACAGAGTACGCTTTCCAAGCATAAAGAGCAGCCATTCTAGCATTTCGAACTCATTCTCTTCTCTAGATTCCCCTTCCGTCTCCAGCATGGCCTCCACGCCTAGACCCACTCCGTCTTCCCCTTCAGCTGCGGCAGCCCCTGTTTTCGCGGAGGCTTCTACTAGCGGCACACTCTTTTGCCCCGCCACTTCAACGTCCCAGTCGATGACTCAAGCGATAGCGCGACGAAGATCTGCAAGTACTGTGAGTTCAAGTTCGTAGGCGGCATGAACCGCTGCGCTCAACACATCACCAGCTGGCACGGCATGAGACGTCGCGAAGTGCGGCTCTTCCCCTCGGCTCCCAAGTCTGCACGTGACGCCGTGAAGACTTCGTACAATTCGAAGCTGCAGGCGCGCGAACAAAAGCGCGCAGTGGAGGCGGCCGCACTCCATGCGGCGAGCGGCGCTGCTCGCGATGGTGAAGGGAAGAGGTCCCGCATAGCCGACTTCTTCGGCGACGAAGGGACCTGCGCGAAGGTAGCGGCAAACGAAGCGCTTTGCCTGCTCTTCGCCGACCTTCGACTTCCCGAGAATCACGCAGACCACCCTCTTTGGAGGAACGCCATCAGCTTCATCGCTCGCGCGGGCGCGACGTACGTTCCTCCGAAGCGCCGTTACATCGGAAGGGCGGGCTTGCAGAAGTGCCGCAAGCACATCGCGGCGGCCTTGGCGCCGATTGCCGCGAGCTGGCGCCGCGACGGGGTCACCATCGCGTCGGACATGATGACTGACGGCTGCGGACGCCCCCAAGCAAATATTATGCTCATCAACGACTCGGGAGCCGTTTTCACCGAGTCAATTGACACGAGAATGGAGTCGAAGACGGGCGGCTACATCGCGAGCCTCCTCCGCCCGATCTTGAGGAGGGTCGGGCCCGAGAACGTCGTGGCCCTTTGCATGGATGGCGGCTCAAACTATGCCGTGGCATGTCGGGAGCTCGTGGCGGAATTCCCGCACATTGAGACCGTCCCCTGCGCCACCCACATTCTCGACCTTCTCATGGAAGATGTCGGGAAGATGACGTAGGCGAAGGACGTGGTGGACACGGCGTCTGACATGATCAACTTCGTACGCGCCCACCACTTCACCCGCGGCTAGCTGAGGAGCAAACACGTCAACGGCGGCAAGGGGCGGCAGGTCCTCAAGCCGGCGGGCGCGCGGTTCAGGACACAGTTCATCGCTGTGTCCTGACTGTGCGACGTTCGGCTCAGCCTTGTTTAGATGGTCCTGAGCGAGGAGTGGAGAGGGTGGGCGGTGGGGGGGAGGAAGGTGGGTGGTGAGACGTTCAAGGCACAAATGATGGACGCCTTGTGGTGGCAGCTGGCGGAGATTTTCATCAACCTGCTGGAGTTCCCCTTCATCGTCATGCGAGCCACCGATGCCACGGCAAAGGGCATGATGGGCCGCATGTACAACACCATGCTCCAACTCACCGAGGACGTCTCAGATTTCCTCGACGGGCATGCGGAGGGGAAGCTCACAAGGGGAGAGGTGGCGGAGGTGAATAAAATCGTGAAAAATTGGTGGGATGGAGGGCTCGCCTGCCCCATGCACGTGGTTGGCCGGATCTTAAATCCCGCTAACCAAGAGGAGGGCATTTTCCGCGCCGACATCGAGTGCACCCGCGTCTTCAAGTCGTACATCTCCCGCCACTACGACCACCTCACCATCACCCGAAGGGATGGCGAGGAGCGCCGTGCCTCCCTTGTACTTCAGGAAGGCCTCACGGCCTTCCTGAACCTGCAAGGGAGCTTCGGCCTCCCTGCTGCCATTGCGGACCGCGAGGCTGTGAAGGAGGGGAGGCAGAGTGTCGTGCAGTGGTGGAACTGACACGACACGGACTTTCCCGAGCTGGCCACGCTTGCGTGCCGCGTCCTCACACAGCCCGCGTCGGCGGCAGCATGCGAGCGCAACTGGGCCGTGTGGGAGTCGGTCCACACGTCCAAGCGCAACCGCTTGGGGTCGGAGAAGCTCCACGACCTCGTGTACGTTGCGCACAACTGGAAAGTTGTGCACAACTGGCACTCGGTCGCGGAGGGGCAGGGGGTGGTCAGCGAGAATATTGAGGAGCCCCCCATTCCGGAGGGGTACAACAAGCAGGGGGAGGGGAACAAAGAGGAGGGGGAGGATGCTGTGCTTGCCGATGAGTACGAGTAGAGCTGACTGACCTGCGGGAGGAGGAGGTGGGGAATAGGGTGGAGTAGTGGAGGGGGACTGCAAAGGGGGGGGGGGGAGTAGTGGAAGGGGGCTGCAGGGGGAGGTGTTGTGGAAGGGGGGTGCATAGGAGGTTAGAGTATTGGGGAGGGTAGTAGTAATATGCCGGTATTATGATGTATGAAATTTGCCTATCAATAAAATGGGGATGGGGATTTGGGGTGCTTTGTACCCCCCCCCATTCCCGCCTCTTACCCCAATTTTCCACCTGCCACCGTTTTTCCTGCGTACCAGATCCCCTTACCCCTAGCGTTTTTTCCAACATAGCGTCCAGCATCCCAAGCATCTCATCCATGCCTGCAGCATGACTGCGCTTGCCCACGTGATGCTGATGATGCTGATGATGATCATCATCATGATCATGATGATGGTGATTATAATGAACATCCATTACTTCCATTGAATTGAACCACTCCAATGCTGCTGTGGTTTCGGCTGCTGCTGCTGGTGCTGCTGCTGCTGCTGGTGCCACCGACGATGATGCTGCGTTGCCTTCCCCTCCCACCACATCCGGCCGCCCACCGTCCATCAGCTCACCAAACCGGTTTCCAACAACCCACTGGTTCTGTTTGCATTTCAGCAGAAGAGGCTTTGGCAGCGGCTTCAAAAGCAACACTAACGGCCCCAGCAGAGAAAGCAGCGCTGGCAGAAGCTACTGCTGGCGCTGCTGTCACTGCTGGTGCTGCTGGGGCATGTACAGCCACAGTGGCATGAGAAGACTTAGAGCTCTCACAAGTACCCAGACAGGTACTTTCGTCCTTCAGCTCTTGTTTAGGGTGAAGCTGGCAGGCAGCAGGGGGCATGCTGACACGCACAGCCGCGCCTGCAGCACCAGCACGGGCTCGAGCAGCAGCACGAGCAGCAGCAGCAGCACCTGCAGCCACAGCAGCAACATCACCCGCACCAGCAGCAGCACCAGCAGCAGCACCAGCACCAGCAGCAGCACCAGCAGTAGCAGATCCAGCACCATCAGCAGCATCACCACCGCTGCCAGCAGCAGCAGGCGTCACAGAGGCAGCAGCGATAATGGCGGCAGCAAGAATCGAGGCAGCAGCGTGGGAGTTCGCAGGCTGTGAGAGTAGGGCCAGGTTCAGTGGCCTTTGCATTGACTCAGAAGCCGGCAGCACGGCCAGGCTTAGGCCAGCTGTTGTGGGTGGGATGGACGAGGGAGCCGTGGCAGGGACGAGAGAGGGAGGAGAGATCGAGGGAGGAACGGCCGCAGCAGGGCTGGATCCAGCAGTGGCAGCAGCGCCTCGGGCAGCTGTGACACCGGCAGCAGGGGTACCGGCAGCAGGGGCACTGGCAGCAGGGGCACCGGCAGCAGTAGCGGCATGCATGGCAGCGCCGGCCATGCTCCTGGGCACTTGGAATGGACGTTTTGGGCCGGGAGATAGGATCCTGCAGGAGCAAACAAAGGAGAAGCCGAAGCAGCAGCAGCAGCAGGGATAGTAGCAGACGCGGAAGCAACAGTGGCGGTGGCGGCGGCGGCAGACGCACCAGCACTGTTGGGCTGGTTGTATTCATGCATTAGACTCTTCAGGAAGGTCTGGATGCTGCTGAAGCTTCTCGCCGAAACGCATCGACAGCACCACTACGGCCGCCGCCTCTGCGTGCACTGCCGCCACCGCCGCCGCTGCAACCGCTGCCGTTGCCACCGCCGCTGTTGCCACCACCACTGCCACCGCCACTGCCACTGCCATTGAGGTTGTTGTTGCGAGCCATGTAACTCGTACCGCCCCTTGCACTTGATCCTGCCAGCCCTGCCAGCCCTGCCATCCCTGCCAGCCCTGCCAGCCCTGCCATCCCTGCCAGCCCTGCCATCCCTGCCTGTCCTGGTTTGGGACTCTTGCCGCACACATTGGACTCCACCTCGGTCCTTGTCAGCATCGCACACACCTCCTCATCATCCTCATCTTCCTCTTCCTCCTCGTCGCTGTCCTCGTACTCCTCCTCCTCGTCTTCCTCATCCTCCTCTACCTCGTCCTCCTCTTCCTCCTCATCCCCCTCCTCTTCCTCCTCCTCCTCCTCCGCGTCCTCTCCTCCCCTCCCACACCTTGCACCACCCGTAGCAGCCGCCACTAGAGAAGGATTTTCCGAATTCTCAGATTCCCCAGAATGCCCAGAACTCCCGAAATTCCTGAGCTCCCCAGAATGCCCAGAGCGCCCAACGATTTTGACCAGAGCCAGAGCGGAATTCCGAGAGTGCCCAGATCGCCCAAATCGCCCAGATCGCTCTGAGCGCCTGGAGCGGCCAGAGCCGGTGGTGCTACTCCTCAGCGGCCCCGTTGCACCAGCAGCAGCAGCAGCAGCAGCAGCAGCAGCGCTGTCCCGGCTACACGTGGCTTGAGGACCCAGGGAGCCGCTGCTTTGTCCAGATTGGTTCCTTTGGCCGGCAGTTTGCTGCCCGAGGTGAAGCCGGCCGGCCAGACTGGGACCAACACGGGAGAGCGACGGCAGCGCCGCACCGGCAGTGGCAGCAGCACTGGCAGCGGCGGCAGCAACAGCAGCACCGGCAGTGGGAGTGGCAGCAGAGGAAGGTGTCCAAAGCCCTTGCGGCAGCAGCAGCAGGTCCACCGATGGCATCATCTGGCGTGGGCTGACCTGTGGTAGGTTGTTGTGAGGAATGTGGCCCTTCACCGCTGCAGTTCGAGTGGTATTCCCCGTACCATTCGCCACATCCATGGCATTCGCAGTATTTGTGGCATTCGTAGGATTCGTGGTATCCGTGGTATCTGTAGTCCCTGTAGTAGTAGCAGTGGTTGCTTCCGGCATGGATGGAGGAGCCAAGTAGACGCAGGCTGCACTGCCTGACATCCCACCTGTAGTGATGCCGAACGGCCCGGGGTTGGATCTGTCTCCATCACCGCAGCGCGCGTCACCGCAGCGTGCGTCACCGCAGCGTGCATCGAGCCCTGAAGCCGTGCTTGGTACGCCTTGAAGGCGTCCGTTGCTGGCGATGGCATTCGCCAAGGCGGCTCCATCCACCCCAATCCGACCCACCTGCCGCACCCGTCGCCGCCGCTGCAGCTGCCGCACACGCCGCACCCGCACCCGTACCCAACGCACCACCCGCTGCCACATACAGGTTGGTTTTGTTCAAATGTTTGTACCCTCTAAGAGCATGAACCTATCTAGCCTATTATAACATATACAAATAAGTTTGACACGTTCCATTATAGTTCAGTGGCCCGCTCCGCTCGGCATTGATTATTGTTGTTGGAACCTTCCCCAGAGAGTTGCAAGTGACAACTGCACCACTCCGGTTTCTCTCTCTATCCACGATGTACATTATATAAGACAACGAATATCTCCACAATAATCTCACACCAAATATTTCTCGATGGAGTTTCGATACCTTGCACGTGTTGATCCGGATGGGGCAAATTTCTTGAGAAAAAAAAAAATCGATTCTTTACCTTCCATAGGTCTTTCAACGCAGGAGGTGGCACCGAGAATCAGCACTGCCACGTTTCAACGTCTGCTATGCCCCTATCCACCCCTTGGTGATGCAATGCAATGTCCCCCTTATTTAACATCCTGCGCCCCCCAGCATCAATCATCGTATGTCTCATGTGGCCCTGCCACACAGCCTGGATCAAAGGGGTCAGTGGCGCCGCAGCAGTGCCAGTACGCTGTGATCTCGCCCCCTCCCACTGTGTCCATGGTTCCACCTGTGTACACACTCTCAAACTTGCGCTTGGTTTCACCTGACAGTGGCGGGGGTGGTTGAAGCATGAAGTGAGCGGGGGGGAAGAATTGGAGTGTGTGAAAGGGAGGGGGGGAGGTGGGGGGAAGGGGAGAGGAAGGAACTGGGGGAGGAATGGAGGGAGGGATGGGGGGAGCAGCAAGAGGGGGTAGGGGGGATTGCAAGAGATAGGACGGATAAGGCCTTGTAAACAAAGGGAGACGGCCCTTAAATCGTAACAGCTGCTGCACACCTCCTCCTGAAATCTCCCCCTCCTGCATTCGCCCCTCTAGTTTCCTGCTCTCCCTCTCTCTCTCTCCCTCTACCCTTTTGCCTCCGTACTACCATCCTTCTACTTCTCTCGCCACTCTTCCCCCCATGCTCACAGCCATACTGTGCTCACCGCCATAGTGTGCTGTGTGGTGTCTGCAGGCCATGGGGTGGTTGTCGGCAGGGTTAAAGGGCTGCTTGCAATTGCGGCAGGTGCGCAGGTCCGAAGGGGGAGATGGAGAGGAGGACGAGGGGGAAGAGGGGGAAGAGGGGGAAGAGGTGGGAGAGGAAGAGGAGGTTGGGTTGCTGCTGCTGCTGCTGCAGGTGCAGGGTGTTGTCACATAGCGGTGTTGCTTTGCACACGACCCGAAGCGAACGGAGGAGGAGGCGGCGGAAAATGGATGTCTGTTGGAAGGAGTGGGCTTGCCGTAGGAAAGGAATGATTCTGGATGTGCAAGGGAAGGGAAACCGGGGAGGAGAAGGGAGCTGAAGGAATGATTCTGGATGTAGGGCGGGGTCGCCCTAGGACGGGTGTTCCTCGGGTTACTCAGTAAGGATAAGGACATAGTCCACGTGGAACGACAAATGAATGCGCGGGACAGTCACGCTGTGTGCATATGCAGTCATCGTAAGAGATAAAAGAGTCGTCCTACGACATTAATTAATCGACAGTGACGATGCACGGCACACGGGAGGGGAAAGAGTGGTCGAGGGAGAAGCCAATGTGCCCCACGTAGTGCGAGACTACGGTTGAGGCATCGTGAGGAGAATAACAAGAGGACGAAGAAGAGGGACAAACAAAACAAAACAAAAAACGCCGAAAATGACGGTGCAAGTAGAGTTTAACTCACGGTGCCGTCTATTTTTGAGGCGCCTCAAAAATAGATTCCGGAAATGACGGTGCAAGGAGAGATTAACTCACGGTGCTGTAAAGAAAGGCTCGAAGGGACGAAGAGTGACGTCATTGCAACGTGTGGTTTCCGCAAGCCTTCGTGTGAGCGGAAGACGAATGAGCGGTTGAACGACAGGCGCAACCCGTGTGCTAGGAGAGACAGAGAGCGCGAGAGAGAGCGAGAAGACGGCGCTCGCGTTGCTAGTAGAATGCGGAGGGGAAGGAATCTAGAACAAGGCAGACCCTCGAAATCTGTTGCCCTGGCGAAACTAGTCAGTGGGTTGGGGAGGAGCAGCAGGAGGACGGGAATGTGGTCCCCAAAATGCGCTTTTCCAATTGGAGACCGCAGGGTTGCTCTTCGAATGTCATTAGAAACAGGGGCTTCTTTGGTGTCATTCAAGCTGACCCGGTGTCTTTCACGGGCAAATTTAGAAAGACCCTCGCGGATAAGGCGACGCCGTTTGACTTCAAAGACACTAGGTTTGCCCCAGAGCTGAATGACACCCGAGCTTGACACGATGCAAGAACCCGTCCTTACTGTCAAGCTCAGTTGTCGCAAGATGCACTTGTTTTTTCAGGTTATTCAGGTTATCACGCATTGGGGTGCAGGAGTGGCTTGACCTAGTAGATTAATCATTCTGCCTTGAATGCCTTGCAACGATATAACCGCCATGAGTAGCGTTAGCGTACCGCGGGTCGTTCTCTCCCCCTCCTTTCCCCGCGTGGACCTTTCCGCGTGCCCGCGGAGGTCGCAGGCGGAACTCGCTGCGCGCGGACTGCTGCTTCCACCTAAACCCGGAACCCCGAACCCGGGACCCGACTCAGGAACGCACGCAGCGGCGTCAGGAGGGAACAACAGTCGAGCCGCAAGCACAGGAGAAAACGTTTGTGATCAAAAGATCGAGGCGTCTCAAAACAGCCGACCTGCAGCCGTCGGTGCTGACGTGTCTGAGAAATCTCGAGTTAGATCGGACGGTGGAGAGTGTCTGCCGGCTGGAGAGGCTGCCGCGGAGACGGTTGTAGCGGAGGGGGATGGGAATGGAAACTCCCCGAGTGATTGTAACGAGGGGGACTATCGCGAGGTGGAATGGAGCGTGGAGGTAGCGCGCGTGGTGCGGGTCAGGCGTCTGAGCCGTCGATTGGTGTTTCTGGACGTCGAGATCATGACCGTTGGGGATTCGAACGTACGCGATACGACGAACATGGAGCAGTTACCATTTCAGCAGCAGCAGCAGCAGCAGCAGCAAGAGGAGCAGCACCTCTACGAGCGAGGCTTATCGGCTTCTACCGTGAATGACGTCAGCTCCGCCGTAGTTGACGTCAGCGGCACGCTAGAAGTTGCGCTGAAGCATCCCACGTGTCCGGACGTGCGCGCCAATTCCCGCCACGCGCACATCGGACGGCTCGTGTCGCTCCGCGGGCCCCTGGTGGATCTGCAACCCGCCAGGGCTTGTATCAAGGCATCTCATAGCGAGGACGCGAAAGTCCCCGCGAGTTTCCGCATGCCCCTCTTCTTCGCATCGTCATTGACCCCGCTCCCCGCTGCCCGCCCCGCACTCGCCGGTCCTGCCGCACTTGCCGACCCCGCGGCTGCTGCCGCCGGCCTTAGCGCCGCTGGCATTGGTGCCGCAGGCATTGCCGCGGCCAGCGGAGAAGCTGGCGCAGATTTGGCGCGGAGTGAAGCTCCGCGGGCTGGCGGACTGGCGGAGGGGCAGGGTGCGGGGGAGATGAAAGCGCGCTCGAGGCAGGAAGCGGGCGGGGAGGAGGGGCGGAGAAGCACAGATAATTGCGCCGATGGGGTGGGCTGGCCCATGGTGGCGCCTGGGTGGGGGGTTTGGGAGAACCTGCCTGGCGGGGGGGGAAATGTGGCGGGTGGGAAGGGGAAGACGATGGGGAAGACGAGTGGGCGGAGAAGGTGGGGGCAGGTGTGGGAGGAGCGGAAGGTGGAGGAGGGGGAGAGGGAGAAGGAAGGAAAGGGGAAGGAGGGGAGGGAGGAGAGAGTGTAATGGAGAATGGAGGTATGGGAGAGAAGGGAGAGTGGAGAGAGGAGCAGAGAATTAGAGATAGTAACCCCGAAACCCGCTTCCTTACTCCAGGCAGCACTTATATTACCCTTCCTGACATCTCCTCCCTACCTTCCCCTACCTCCCCTCACCCTCTCTCAGCCGCCCTTCACCTCCCCCCCACACTCGCTACGCTTCCTCCTCTCCCCCCTTCCGCCCCGCCCCTCTTCTCCCTCTGTAAGCACTACTTGAATTCGGGCCATTGCTCCGCCTCCCCCTTCTGCACCCGCGCGCACCCGCCCCCCGCGCTGCTCCCACTGCTGCGCCTGCACTGGATCGCGCACAGGCAGCACCGGCGGCGCCACTGCTGCAGCCAGGGGGAGGGGGATCCGCACAGGGCGGAGGGGAAGCGGGGCAAGCAGGTGCGCGCGGAGCTGTTTGCTGCATGGCTGGTGGGGAGGTTCGGACGGGGGAGACTGATGGGGGAGTGGGGGGAACGGGGGGCGGGGAGAGGGGGGTCGGAGGGGAGGGAGAGGAGGGAGGGGATGGAGGGGAGGGAAGGGGGGAAGGAGAGGGAGGGGAGAGAGAGGAGGGAGGGGGGGCTAGGGAAGAAGGGGGGCAGAGAAGGGGGGGTGGGATGGAAAGGGCGGGGCTGGAGGGAAGGGAGAGGGGAGGGGGCAAGGGGGTTCTGGACGTGGCTGGGGGGCGGGGGGGGCTGTCTTTTGCGCTGGAGCAGAGGCATGGGGTGCGGGCGACTGTGGTTGACCCCAGGGGAGTAAGGCTGAGCAAGAAGCAGGTGCGGGAGTTGATGGGGGTGGGCAGGGGCGCTGGAGGGGGGGATGGATGTGAGGGGTTGGTGAAAAAAGGTGTGGGGAGGGGAGAGGGGGGAGGGGATGATGGGGGGGAAAGCGAAGGAAGTGGAGAGTGCATGGTGGCAGCTTCTGTTGCAGGAGCCGGAGGAGAAGCAACAACTTCAGCTGCAGCAGCAGCTGCAACAACAAAATCTGCACTGCTTGCGGCACCAAGGCAAGAGTTGGAAACATCACCGACACCAGCAACAGCACCAGCAGCACCATCACCATTACCAGCAGCAGCAGCACCCTCCACCACCGTCTCATCACCCCCCCAGTCCAAGAAGGCCCTTAGAAGAGCCTACCTCTCAGGTGCCATCTGGAAACCCCAGTCTATCCAGAAAGAATTTTCTGCTGCTGACCATTCCTGGGCTTCCGCTGGTTACTCCTGTTTTATTGGCCTCCACCCTGACGAGGTAACCGGGGATATAGTTTTTGCCGCTGCCCGGGCGAAAATTCCGTTTGCTGTGGTCCCGTGCTGCGTTTTTCCGGGGCGGTTTTCTGCCCGGAGGGTGGCTGTGGGCGGGCAGATGAAGAAAGTGGAGACGCATGGGGATCTGGTGGAGTATCTTTCCGCAATGTGCCGGTATTTTGGGGGCTGCCCGAAGGTTGACTGGCTGAATTTCTCTGGGAAAAACATGGTGTTGTACTGTATGGAGTACACATAGAGAGCTTAGCAGAGATTCCTGAGGAATGGTACCGTACTGTAGAGGAGCTTCCTGCTTCCTAATTGCTGCTGCTGGCTGTAGAGCACGTTTTCACAGGAATGGAGTGCAGTGCAGTGCAGTGAGGCAATCACGGTACATTTAGTAGTGCAACACTGGGCAGAGCAGGGTATCAGAGTAGAAGAATGAAAATAAAAGAGAGAACATCTGAATATACCTAAGAGTTGTACCCTATATAAGACAAGACTCTATTCAGTCTATGCAAACATAGTAGATATACATGTTTGACACACCCCCTAGACTGCATAGGGGCAGGTCATGACAAAACAGCTCAGGGTGGCACTACTAGTCCAGCTTCTGAGACAAGGGTCTAAAAGACCAGTCAGAAGGAGTACAGACAAGGCAAGAACAAGTACAGGGCGGCACTACTAGTCCAACCACTGTGAGAGGACACAAGTCCAGTCTGAGTGTACATATATATAGGACAGTACAAAGTCAAGGCCCAAGCAAGTGAGAGACTACAGGAACTAGACCAAGCTGTACACAGTGCCGCTGATGATCTTTAGGCGCAAGTGCCTTCGTAAAGATATCAGCTGTGTTGGCACCTGAGGCCAAGTGTACTACGCGAGCCTGGCGTCGCTGCTGTAGCTCGCGCAGGAGGAAGTACCGCAGCTGGATATGCTTCGCTCTGCCCTCGAGTCGAGGCTCCTGACACAGGAGGATCATGGCCCTGTTGTCAGCGTACAGGACCGGGGCAGAGCTAGGCTGCTCACCTAAATCAGCGAGCAAGAAGGTCAGCAGGCGGAGCTCCTGTGCCGCCATGGCACCAGCGTAGATCTCAGCCTCACAGCTGGACTGGGCAACAGACGAGGAGCTGGTAGCTCTCCACGAGACAGCCCCTGAGCCAAGGCTGAAGCAGTAGCCCTGGGAAGACCTGAGCGTCTCGGCGTCGTCTGCCCAAGAAGCGTCTGTGTGTCCAGTCAGGACCACCGGCCTGCGTCCGCCTAGCACTAACCCCATGCCCGATGTACTTGCAAGATAACGCAGAACCCTCTTAGCGGCAGACCAGTGCTGAGGTCGGTGTCTGCCTGTGGCCACAAAGCGCGCCAGAATGCTGAGAGGGTATGCGAGATCTGGGCGAGTGCAAGTCATCAGGTACATGAGGCAACCCACCAGCTCAGCGTAAGGACCACTGGGATCTACCGACTCCTCAGGAACTGGAGCGGAGAGTCTGTGGTCCAGAGGAAGAGGGGTGGGCTGTGCTGAGGAGAACTGAAGGCCGAACCTCTGAAGGACCTGGCGCACAAAGTGTGACTGAGTCAGGGTGATGGTGCGCGCGGCTCTGTCCCTGGAGATCTGCAAACCAAGGTAACGGCGCAGCTCTCCAAGGTCAGTGCAAGTGTGTCTCTTCAGCAGCTCTGCCTTCACGGAGGCCAGCGCGTCCCTGTCTGCTGTGGCAAAGACCAGGTCGTCGACGTAAACAAGGATGTAGAACGGAGTCTGGCCAGCACGAACGAAGAGTGAAGGGTCTGCGGAAGACGGAAAGAACTGCAGGTCAGCAAGCGTAGCACGGAGAGTGTCGTGCCACTCACGGGGAGCCTGGCGCAGGCCGTAGACGGGGCGCCGCAGGAGCCACTGGGTCCCAGGAGGGAAGGTGCCAGTAAAGCCCGGAGGGCGACGCAGGTAGACCTGCTCGTGTAGGCTGCCCTGAAGGAAGGCAGTGGAGAAGTCGAAGGAGTGAAGCTCGTAGTCACGCTGAGCAGCTAGGTGTAACAGAACCCGAAGAGTAGTCATCTTCGGGGTCGGAGCGAAAGTCTGGAAGAAGTCCACCCCCTCGCGCTGTCTGAAGCCTCTAGCCACATAGCGCGCCTTGAAGACAGGCGGCTCTCCAGGAGGGCGCTTCACCTTGAAGAGCCAGCGGCCATCGACTACGTTCACCCCAGGCGGGGGAACTGCGTCGACGAAGGTGCCGGTGGATATCCAAGATGCCATCTCCTGCTCCATGGCAGCTATCCACTGAGAGGCCCAGGGTCCCGAAACCGCCTCAGCGTAAGTACGAGGGGTCGGGATGTCGAAGGCGTCTGGGTCACCCTCAGGGACTAGCATCATGGAACAGAGATGGGGAGCAGCCTCAGACAGGAAAGCAAGCTCGAACTGGCGGTCCTCCAGGACGTCACTGCCAAGGGCAGGAGCACCCCCGACAGACGGAGGACAGGCAGGGTCAGAGACCAGAGCGGTGGCGTAGTCAAGGCGGCGGGTAGAGGCGAAGTCAGCGACCGCAGCAACAAGGGCGTCAAGACTCGAAACCGGAACAGACGGGTCGGTAACGAGAGAGGCAAGGACCCGAGGAACAAGAGGACGAGCAGCACGAAAAAATCAGACAGAGGAGGAGACGCAACTGTAAGAGAAGACGGAGGAGGCAACGGGAGGAGGGGAGGACGAGACGCCTGGGAACGTAGCAACATAGGGTGAGAGCGCGGGGCGGGGGAGACAGGACGAGCACGGGAGGGATGGCGAGACCAGACGTGAGAGGGAGGCGTCGGGTCAGGAGACAGAGGAGGGGACACGGGTGGGGAACGAGGGGGAAAACGAGCCGGGGACGAGTCCGGCGGAGGGAACACGGGGCCATAGACGGGAAGAGGAGGAGACGGCAGGAGAGGAACAGGCGCAGGGTCAGGGGACGGAAGGCCGAGCAGACGAAGGGCGGACACCGGCGGGGACTGCTGCTGCTGCGACACAACACCAACACCAGGGCCGCAAGCTGCGCGACGGCTACCTCCCGAACCCTCCACGCCGGCACCCCCAGAAGGGACACCCCCAGAGCCCGAAACCCCGCCAGCGCCGGTACCACCCCCAAACCCGCCGGGACAAGCCACGACAGGAGCCCCGGGACGAGTACCCACCTCAACTCCAGCAACCCCAGAGTCCACGAACGGCGGCAGCGACCACAGCGGCGGCGGCGGCGGCGTCGGCTGCAACAACTACTGCGACGGCGGCGGCGGCGGAGACGACAGCTGCCGCAGCTGTGGCAACGGCGGCGGCTGCGGAGGCGGTGGAGGTGGAGACAGCAGGGGAGGGACTGGCGGCGAGGACTGCGCCGGGGGACTACCTGAGTCAGAAGACTCCTCGACCGGGACGACCGACGGGAGGGGGATGACGTGAGACACACCAGAGGGGGCCGGACGGGGGGGAGGGGGGGGGGGAGGGGCAGGGACCACCAGGGAGGGAGGAACCAGGAACAGGGGGGGAGTAACCGGGGGACCACGGTGGGGGAAGCGGCGGTAGAAGGAGACGGACTCGTCAAATGTGACGTCACGAGAGTGAAAGAAGCGGTGAGACGGCGGGTGGTAGAAGTGCCAGTCAGACGCGTCAAGGGGGAAACCGAGGAAGACGCAGGGAAGGGTGCGGGCAGTGAGCTTGTCCGTGCCAAAGGCACGAACGTGAGCAAGGCAGCCCCAAACGTAGAACGCAGACGCGTCACCAGGGGACCCGGTCCACAGAAGGGTCGGCGAAACCTGCGGCCGCTGGGGGTGCAGCCACAGGTTAAGCTGGTGAGCAGCGTAGCGCACGGCGAACGGCCACAGAAAATGGGGTGCACCGGCATGGATCATGGAGGTGCGAGCCACCTCCATGACCAAACCGATGCGTCGCTCAGCGACCCCATTCTGCTGCGGGGAGTCCGACAGGGTAAACGTCTGGGTGATGCCCTCCGCACGACAGAAGCGACCGAGGACACCGGAGGCAAACTCGCCACCACGGTCGGAGTGAAGACGCAAGACAGGGAGACCGTGGTGGACACGAGCAGAGACAAGCCAGGGGATGAGAACGTCAGGCACGTCAGCCTTCCGCTCCAGGGGAAAGACGGTGGTGTAGCGCGTGAAGTCGTCGACAAGCACGAGGAAGAAGCGCTCGCGACGTGGCCCATGGACGGGGGCGGGGCCCCAGACGTCCATGTGTAGAGTCTGCAGCGGTGCGGTGGTAGGGGGAAACGAGGAGGAGTGAGGGGCACGGCGAAGCCGGCCCTCGACGCAAGGCGTGCAAGGTGGGGCGGGGGAGGAGGGAAACTCGGGGAACGAACCGGGGAGACCAAGGACGAGACCGTGCTGGGACATGTGACGCAGACGCGGGAGCGCAGGGTGACCAAGACGGTGGTGCCAAAGGAGTGAGTGAGGGTGAGTGAGGGACCGACAGGAGCAAGCAGCAGCAACCTGAGTAGACGCAGCCACCTGGGGGGACGTCCCAGCCGGGGAAGTCGCGGTGTCAAGTGTGAACAGGCCTGACACCGGGTCCCGGGGGAACGTGGTAAGGGGGGCACCAGTGGCGGCCTCGGTACAGACAGCATACCGCTCGTGCCCAGGGAACGTAGTGGTGACACCAAGGTCCTGGAGGCAGCCGACACCAACTAGGTTCCTGGAGAACGAGGGGATATGCAGACCTGTGAGCGAACCCGAAGGAATCGCCGGACAGGGAAGGGAGGTGGAACTGCGGGCTACGACTGGACCACCGGAGGGGTCAGCAAGAGAAACGGCAGCAGGAACAGGAAGCGGCGTCAGCGAAGTGGAGTCGCGGAAGAAACACCGGGAAGCGCCAGAGTCCAAGGTGAAGGAAAGTGCAGCAGTGGCGCCTGGCGGCGGAGAAGCGATGGAAGCACCGAGGCTACACAAAGCAGGAGATCCTACGCCTGACGTAGCAGGGGAGTCTACGCTAGGCACACCTACACTAGGCAACACGGGGTAATAAGAAGGAAGCACACTAGAGTCATCAGCATACATTACATGCAGGGCAGCTACAATGGCATCCATGTCCAAGTCAAAAATCTGAATACTACGCCTAAGCAAACTGTGCCAATCCGGGAGGTCGGGCGACGGGCCAAAGCGCTGACGGAACAGGTCGTCCAGGCGACGAAAACAGCGAGGAGTGGAATGACCGATCTTACCGCAAACGAAGCCGCTGCGCGGACCGGTCTGGATCTGGTACTGACAGCGCACGCCTCCGGAACCACCACCCGGCGCACCACTACGTGCACGGCCACTACCAGCTCCAGGCCATCCGGGCGGGAGGGCACTCGCATGCCTCGTCTGCGGCGGCTGCTGTGGCTGCAGCGGAGGCTGCGGCTGCGGCGACTGCTGCTGCTGCTGCGGCTGCTGAGGCAGTGGGTCAGCCGGACTGGGCAGCGTCCCCTCGTCCGCTCCAGCACCAGACGACCCGACTCCACCACCACCCCCTCCTGCACCCCCGCCTCCCCCGCCGCGCCCAACCTTGGGGCGGCGACCCTTCCCCGAGCGAAACTGCGCGGCTGCAGCAGTCTCAGCCACAGCGACAGAGCCGTCGGAGAAGGTACACTGAGCGGGGGCACAACCCTGAAGATAGGGACCGGTACCGTACCGCTCGCCTGGGCGATGGAGCGGTGGCGAGTCTCGATAACAGTCAGGGTGTCTACGAAGTCGGTGAGGGTGAGCTCAGCGGGGTGAATGCTAAGGAACTGGTCGCGGGCGGCGGCAAGGCGGTCAGGGAGGCGGGTGGCAAGCAGGTAGAGGGTAGAGGTCATAGGCGGCTGGTGGGCTCTAAGCTGTGCATCAGTGCAGGCAGCGCGCCAGGTCTCATCTATCGAGCGCAGGTGGGCAGCTAGGTCAGAGACAGTGGGGAAAGACGCAAGGTCAGGAAAGAGCATCGGGAGGATCAGGCGACCCACGGAGGCAGCAGGGGGGGCAGAATAGCGCTTGATGACAACATCTAAGTAGGCTTGGGCGGTAGTGATGGACCTAAAGCGAGGGCGCTCAGGCGGGGAAAGGGCATTGCTAATGGCGAGCTGAGCAACAGCGTCTCGGGAAAGCCAGACAGAGCGTGCTAGGGCAGCGGCGGCAATGGACTCGCGCTCAGCGGGTGTGGGGTCGGCGGGCAGCACAGCAGGGGGGTCTGGGCAGGGGAGCGTACCGTCAAGGTGTGCGGAAAGCGGGTGGCCATCCTGCCGCTGGCCGGTGAGGTGGCGGCGGAGGTCGGCAAGCCACGCCTCGAACTCCAGTGGCTGACCTTCAGCATCGAAGCGAAGCTCCGCCGCCATCAGGAGCAGGGAAGGACTATACAGGGCGGTGCAGAACAGTGGAGTGGGGTGCAGTGCGGTGCAGTGCGGTTCAGTGCGGTGCAGTGCGGTGCAGTGCGGTTCAGTGCGGTGTAGTGCGGTGCAGTGCGGTCCAGTGCGGTGCAGTGCGGTGCAGTGCGATCCAGTGCGGTGCAGTGCGGTGCAGTGCGATGCAGTGCGGTGCAAGGAAGTGCAGTGCAGTGCAAAGCGGTGCAGGGAACGGGGGACAGTACCAGGGTGGATGTAGGGCCGGGGCTGTGACGACGAGGCTGGGCAGGGCGAGACGAGGCCGGGCAGGGCGCGGCGAGGCCGGGCAGGGCGCGACGGGGCCCGGCAGAGCGCGTCGGGGGGGGCCGGGCAGGCGCGACGGGGCCTGGCGAGCACGACGGGGCCGGGCAGGTGCGACGGGGCCGGGCAGGCGCGACGGGGGCCGGGCAGGTGCGACGGGGCCGGGCGAGCACGACGGGGCCGGGCAGGCGCGACGGGGGCCGGGCAGGCGCGACGGGGGCCGGGCAGGCGCGACGAGGGCTGGGCGAGCGCGACGGGGCTAAGGGAGGGACGGGGCCCAGGAGGGGCGCGACCGGGCAGGGAGGTGCGACAGGGCCCAGGAAGGGGCGTCTGGGCTAGGAGGCGCGACGGGGTCCAGGAGGGGCGCGAACGGGCGAGGAGGCGCGCTAGGGGCCCAGGAGGGGCGCGACTGGGCTAGGAGGCGCGCTAGGGGCCCTGGAGGGGCGCGACTGGGGCTAGGAGGTGTTTAGGGGCCCAGGAGGGGCGCGACTGGAGTAGGAGGCACGCTAGGGCCCAGGAGGGGCGCGACGGGGCTAGGAGGCGCGACGGGGCCAGGAGGGGCGCGACTGGGCTCTTAGGCGCGATAGGGCCCAGGAGGGGCGTGGCTGGGCGAGGAGGGGCGACGGGGCCCAGGAGGGGCGCGGTGGGCTAGGAGGAGCGACTGGGCCCAGAAGGGGCGCGTCTGAGCTAGGAGGCACGGTAGGGCCCAGGGAGGCGCGACTGGGCTACGAGAGACGAAGGACCAGGAGGGGCGCGGCGGGCCTAGCGAGGGTAGGAGTGGAAGCGATAAGTGGGGGGGGGGGGGGGGGTCGAAACCTACGCGTGATACCATAACAGAGTAGAAGAATAAATTAAAAGAGAGAGAACATGTGAATATACCTAAGAGTTGTACCCTATATAAGACATAACTCTATTCAGTCTATGCAAACATAGTAGATATACATGTTTGACACAAGGATGCTTGAGTAGTGCAGCGGAAGTTGAGTAGTTGAACCCTTGCACTAGTATGTGAGAGCAAGTAATTGATTAAAAGAAGCAAGCATACAGCAATATATAGAAAACAAGAAATAGAGCATTTGTAGAATACTGTTGAAGAAACGGTTATCGAGTCGCTGTGCGACTCGATCGTTGGTTCGGTTACCACCTTTGCAGTCGTAACGGTCAGTCGCAACCTCCGGTTGCGATCCTTCGAGTCCCTTCGTCCTTTCGTGTTCTTTCGTCCACCTCCTCGTGTAACCTTCGTTGACTCGTGTACTCGATACGACTTTACTCGAGTGTAGTGTTACACTTCAGAAACGCTTAAGTACTTGAGGTATTTCCAACAGCTTTGGCTTAGATTACTCGCCTGAGATTTGTTTTTTAAATTTCATCACATTTCAAAATCCGAGTTTAATCTAACTTTCAATAATAGACATATCAAGCATTTGTAGAATCAGCATAAGATGAACCTACATTCGTTATTGGTAGATTTCTCGTTTCCGTGTGAACCTGCCGTAGCTCATCTCAAATCCTTCGCCAACTTGCGGTGGCCTCTCGCCTCCTTCTGTGATAACTTGAATCTGCCTTCTACACAATTTGCCAGTTCTACTGCACCAAACGCAGGCCTAGTTTTTTTCGTGGTCAGTACGCTTCGGAGTCTCGCTTCAAGCGCAGCCTGCCTTTTCCCTGTTGAGATTAAATTCCCCTGGGCTTCGATTGCTCAGCTCCCTCTGACAGATCGCCGCATGTTTCTGACGAGGTAACGACCTTATGCCAAAGCTTCAGCCCGAATCCTAGCCGGCTCGCAGATTCAGGTTTCAGCTAGCATCCTGATCTGGGTCGCTGTCGATCCATACTCGCGCAGTTCGCTGGCTCGCGGAATCCGGTTACTGATTTTCGCTATCGCAGTTGCTCGTACTTCGCGAATATTTGCTAACTTGAGGCGTGCGTTAGCTCCTGGATAGCCATATGCTCAGATGCACCCCCCTGATGGGACAAAGCCTGTGCTGCAATTGCACGGTTGATGCATGTTCATTGGAAAACGAAGCACGTGACGAGAGCTCCTTAAAGCACAGAATCAGGCAGTCGACCCCATAGTTCGAGCCATCATCCAGGTCTCGAATTCAGAAAGTCGATCTTTAGTTCATGTTGGACTTTATTCTCGATCCGGGGTTTGTACTTCTGCTATTGATAATTATGGTGGCCATTATGGAGAGCCGAGTAACCAGCCGGTGATGTAACCGTATTGTAGACTTGGAGATAAGCGGGCTCAGCAAGTCAGATTACTCGTCGTTCCCAAAGAGCCACACTTGATTTTTATGTTGTTTCGTTTCAAGCTTAATCATCTTTCATTGGTTCCAACCTTCTACCACATCCAAATTTAACGGCTGGCAGGAGCGAGTACGATCGCGGCGTGAGCACCTTCTCGCCCGAGGGACGGCTGTTCCAAGTGGAGTATGCCATCGAGGCCATCAAGGTACGCCTCGTGCTCTGTTAGCTAGCAACCATTGAGTTGGCTCTGTCTACGTTGCGGTGATCGACATTCGAGAGAGCAGTACCTGCCTGCCGCCTGCTGAAAGCAGTGAGCTGAGCACTTTCTCGCCGAGGGACGGCTGTTCCAAGTGGAGTATGCCATCGAGGCCATCAAGGTATGCACGTTTGGCTTCAACGGTTGGATCTGTTTGCGGTGATTGGGAGAGCAAGTGCTGCTGGCCTCATGTAAGCAGTGAGCACCTTCTCGACGGCTGTTCCAAGTGGACTATGCCATCGAGGCCATCAAGGTACGCCTCGTGCGCGAGTCAAGGTGTTTACCGCAAGAGGTATCTTCCTGCGGTGACTGAGTGAGCAGCTCGTGAGTCGTGACAGGTCCCCACTTGATGAAAGCAGTGAGCGCCTTCTCGCCTGCAGTGAGCGCCTTCTCGCCTGCAGTGAGCGCCTTCTCGCCCAGCAGTGAGCGCCCTTCTCGCCTGCAGTGAGCGCCTTCTCGCCAGCAGTGAGCGCCTTCTCGCCTGCAGTGAGCGCCTTCTCGCCTGCAGTGAGCGCCTTCTCGCCTGCAGTGAGCGCCTTCGCAGTGAGCGCCTTCTCGCCAGCAGTGAGCGCCTTCTCGCCTGCAGTGAGCGCCTTCTCGCCTGCAGTGAGCGCCTTCTCGCCAGCAGTGAGCGCCTTCTCGCCTGCAGTGAGCGCCTTCTCGCCTGCAGTGAGCGCCTTCTCGCCAGCAGTGAGCGCCTTCTCGCCTGCAGTGAGCGCCTTCTCGCCAGCAGTGAGCGCCTTCTCGCCAGCAGTGAGCGCCTTCTCGCCAGCAGTGAGCGCCTTCTCGCCAGCAGTGAGCGCCTTCTCGCCTGCAGTGAGCGCCTTCTCGCCAGCAGTGAGCGCCTTCTCGCCTGCAGTGAGCGCCTTCTCGCCTGCAGTGAGCGCCTTCTCGCCTGCAGTGAGCGCCTTCTCGCCTGCAGTGAGCGCCTTCTCGCCAGCAGTGAGCGCCTTCTCGCCTGCAGTGAGCGCCTTCTCGCCTGCAGTGAGCGCCTTCTCGCCAGCAGTGAGCGCCTTCTCGCCTGCAGTGAGCGCCTTCTCGCCTGCAGTGAGCGCCTTCTCGCCAGCAGTGAGCGCCTTCTCGCCTGCAGTGAGCGCCTTCTCGCCAGCAGTGAGCGCCTTCTCGCCAGCAGTGAGCGCCTTCTCGCCAGCAGTGAGCGCCTTCTCGCCTGCAGTGAGCGCCTTCTCGCCTGCAGTGAGCGCCTTCTCGCCTGCAGTGAGCGCCTTCTCGCCTGCAGTGGGCGCCTTCTCGCCAGCAGTGAGCGCCTTCTCGCCAGCAGTGAGCGCCTTCTCGCCTGCAGTGAGCGCCTTCTCGCCAGCAGTGAGCGCCTTCTCGCCTGCAGTGGGCGCCTTCTCGCCAGCAGTGAGCGCCTTCTCGCCAGCAGTGAGCGCCTTCTCGCCAGCAGTGAGCGCCTTCTCGCCTGCAGTGAGCGCCTTCTCGCCTGCAGTGAGCGCCTTCTCGCCTGCAGTGAGCGCCTTCTCGCCAGCAGTGAGCGCCTTCTCGCCTGCAGTGGGCGCCTTCTCGCCAGCAGTGAGCGCCTTCTCGCCAGCAGTGAGCGCCTTCTCGCCAGCAGTGAGCGCCTTCTCGCCTGCAGTGAGCGCCTTCTCGCCTGCAGTGAGCGCCTTCACGCCTGCAGTGAGCGCCTTCTCGCCAGCAGTGAGCGCCTTCTCGCCTGCAGTGAGCGCCTTCTCGCCAGCAGTGAGCGCCTTCTCGCCAGCAGTGAGCGCCTTCTCGCCAGCAGTGAGCGCCTTCTCGCCTGCAGTGAGCGCCTTCTCGCCTGCAGTGAGCGCCTTCTCGCCAGCAGTGAGCGCCTTCTCGCCTGCAGTGGGCGCCTTCTCGCCAGCAGTGAGCGCCTTCTCGCCAGCAGTGAGCGCCTTCTCGCCTGCAGTGAGCGCCTTCTCGCCAGCAGTGAGCGCCTTCTCGCCTGCAGTGAGCGCCTTCTCGCCAGCAGTGAGCGCCTTCTCGCCAGCAGTGAGCGCCTTCTCGCCAGCAGTGAGCGCCTTCTCGCCTGCAGTGAGCGCCTTCTCGCCTGCAGTGAGCGCCTTCTCGCCTGCAGTGAGCGCCTTCTCGCCAGCAGTGAGCGCCTTCTCGCCTGCAGTGGGCGCCTTCTCGCCAGCAGTGAGCGCCTTCTCGCCAGCAGTGAGCGCCTTCTCGCCAGCAGTGAGCGCCTTCTCGCCTGCAGTGAGCGCCTTCTCGCCTGCAGTGAGCGCCTTCTCGCCAGCAGTGAGCGCCTTCTCGCCTGCAGTGAGCGCCTTCTCGCCAGCAGTGAGCGCCTTCTCGCCAGCAGTGAGCGCCTTCTCGCCTGCAGTGAGCGCCTTCTCGCCTGCAGTGAGCGCCTTCTCGCCAGCAGTGAGCGCCTTCTCGCCTGCAGTGGGCGCCTTCTCGCCAGCAGTGAGCGCCTTCTCGCCAGCAGTGAGCGCCTTCTCGCCAGCAGTGAGCGCCTTCTCGCCAGCAGTGAGCGCCTTCTCGCCTGCAGTGAGCGCCTTCTCGCCTGCAGTGAGCGCCTTCTCGCCAGCAGTGAGCGCCTCTCGCCTGCAGGGGCGCCTTCTCGCCAGCAGTGAGCGCCTTCTCGCCAGCAGTGAGCGCCTTCTCGCCTGCAGTGAGCGCCTTCTCGCCAGCAGTGAGCGCCTTCTCGCCTGCAGTGAGCGCCTTCTCGCCAGCAGTGAGCGCCTTCTCGCCAGCAGTGAGCGCCTTCTCGCCAGCAGTGAGCGCCTTCTCGCCTGCAGTGAGCGCCTTCTCGCCTGCAGTGAGCGCCTTCTCGCCTGCAGTGAGCGCCTTCTCGCCAGCAGTGAGCGCCTTCTCGCCTGCAGTGGGCGCCTTCTCGCCAGCAGTGAGCGCCTTCTCGCCAGCAGTGAGCGCCTTCTCGCCAGCAGTGAGCGCCTTCTCGCCAGCAGTGAGCGCCTTCTCGCCACCAGTGAGCGCCTTCTCGCCAGCAGTGGGCGCCTTCTCACCCAAAGGGACGGTTGTTCCAAGTGGAGTATGCCGTCGAGGTCATCAAGGTACGCACATGTGTGTTCTCAACTATCAAGGTGTGCACGTTTGGGTTCCTGGATCCTTGTCGCCTGAAGGAACGGAACGGCGTTCTTCACTGCCACGCATGATGGGGTGTGCTGCTGTGCATATGCCATATGCCATCTGCCATGTCATACCCAGCTTCATCGCATGCCATGCCACATGTCGCATGGATGGATGGCAGCTCGAGTCAACAGCAGTGGGCATTCAGACCTAGGTAGGCATTCAGGCATGTCATGGCATGGGATGACATGGCTTCTGCTTTCATCGCATCCCATGTGTATGTTCCCCTCCCAACCCCACACCTCCCCCCCCCCCCCCCTCGCCTCTCCTTGTCTCGCATGGAATGCAGCTCAGGTCAACGGCAGTGGGCATTCATTCTTCAGACCATGTCATGTCATGCAATATCATGCCATCCCATGTCACATGCCCCCTTCTATTGTCTCGCATGGATAACAGCTCGGGTCAACAGCGGTGGGCATTCAGACCAAGGAGGGAGTGGTGCTGGCAGTGGAGAAGAGAATAACCTCGCCGCTGCTGGTACGTTTGCCTGTTGTTGGTGTGACTCTTGGCGCTCGTCATTGCTGCTATGTCCGTCCTTGTGACGATCCTGTGCAACACGAACACAGCATTCGGACCAAGGAGGGAGTGGTGCTGGCAGTGGAGAAGAGAATAACCTCGCCCGTCCTGGTATGGCTGCTTGGTGCTGCTCTGTGTCGTTACCCGCGGGAAGACATGAGCCTTCTCCGGGTTAACACAGCAGCAAGGGGAGTGGTGAGATGAAGTAGAGAAGAATTGGGAAAGAGATTGAGTGAATAACAGAAATATCAGGTGTGACAGGGAGAGGTACAGTAAGCACTGTTCTATTTCGGTAATGAGCGGAGGGATCGAGGCGCGGGAAGAATGAAATGTCAAAGCATCGAGGCGCGAGCTGGAAGGAGGTGGAGGGCGTCAGCAGGGGCCCAACCCAATCTGACGTGGAGATGGGCCAAGGGAAGGGAATCTCAGTTCCCGAGGGAAGGAAGGTGAAGGGGTTGTTGGAGCAGGGGGAGATGGATGTGTAAATAGGATGAGACTCAGTAGGACCCTCGCTTTTGCTTGTATGCTTTCCTTCTATACTGCAATTCGCTCTAAGCCTACTAGAGTCTAGCAGTGCAGGAATTCGATCCTAAGTAGATCGGAACAGGCGTCGTGCGGCTTGTAACTGGAGAGCTTGTTCCCACGGCACCGGTGATAACCTACAAGAGGCGGAATGGACAAGGGGAAAGAAGAGCAAGGAGGAAGGATAGCTGAGGAAAAAAGGGAGAGAAATGGGAGAGGCACGACATCTGGCTTGTTGCCCTGCGGTTCTGTAATGTGTAATACGGTATTATGTGGTTGGATTTGGTGCTGTGCGAACACACAGGAGCCTCGCAGTGTGGAGAAGATAATGGAGGTGGATTCGCACATAGGCGCTGCGATGAGTGGGCTCACGGCCGATGCCCGCACTCTCATCCACCACGGCCGCATTCAAACTCAGGTGGGCGGGCGGTATGCATACCCCAGTACCCATCCATTCTTACTCCGGTGGGGTGCAGCGCACACTGTTCTGGTGGCCGTAGGTGGTTGGATGGTGGGGTGCAGCGCCCAAATGGTTTACAACTTCTTTCTGATGAGCGCCATTTGGATTCAATTCAAGTAAGCGTTGTTCGTTCAGACCGTCATTCACCTGCCCTCGTTGCCTTAGCATGGCCCCGTATTGACTGTTGCTATCTCTCATTGCCCATCAACACCCCGCACCACCACTCACTTGTGCATTTCTTCACCCCTCCAGTCCCTCCCGCCGTTTCTCCTACAACGAGCCCTTGCTGGTGGAGCCGTGCTCTGGGTTCCTCTGTGTCCGCTGTCGCCCCCTCAATATTTATTTTTGAGGCACCTCAAAAATAGCTTCCTCTGTGTCCGCAGGCGCCTCAAAAATAGCTTCCTCTGTGTCCGCAGGCGCCTCAAAAATAAGTTCCTGTGTGTCCCTGTCGCCGCCTCATTGTTTCTTGTTACCTCTTATCATCGCATTACACCCCCCCCACCCCCCCCCAGTCCCACCGATTCTCCCACAACGAGCCCATGCTGGTGGAGTCATGCACTTCGTCGCTCTGCGGCCCCCTAACCGCCCCTGAGACTCTCTCTTATGCACCCCCATGGACCCTTGCCACCCCGCATCCCCACCGCCGCTCATCACTCCCCTATCCCTCTTATCACCGCATTCAACCCCCAGTCGCACCGCTTCTCGTACAACGAGCCCATGCTGGTGGAGTCGTGCACCCAGTCGCTGTGCGACCTGGCACTCAAGTTCGGAGAGGGGGATGACGACAGCATGGTCAGTTGGTGGCTATGCCGCTCGAGGGTGGTGTGGTGGGGGACCATGGTAGTATGAAAGTGAAGGCATGTGATGGGGAGTCGCGCACCTAGTCGCTGTGTGACGCGCGTTGAAGTTCGGAGAGGGGGCGTCGACAGCATGGTGAGTTGGTGGTTATGCCGCTCGAGGGCGGTGTGGTGGGGCAGCAGACAGACAGTGCCAGAGGTTGTGCTTGTGGAGTTGTGTACCCAGGCGATCTGTGACCTGGCACTCAAGTTTGGAGAGGGGGATGATGGCAGCATGTGGTGAGTGAAGGGGTGACGGTGGTAGCATGGTGGGGGGTATTGTGGCTTGCGAGCGAGGTGACTTGGCAGCCATTCAGTCGCTTTGTGACCTGGCACTCAAGTTCGGAGAGGGGGACAATGACAGCATGGTGAGTGGGTTGGCAGTGACACCTGTGGGTGGTGGTGGGGTTACGGCAGTATGGAGAGTGAAGGGCCGTGTTGGTGATTCGTGCACTTAGTTGCTCTGCAACCTCGCATTGAAGTTTGGAGAGGGGGACGACGATGATGATGATGATGATGATGATGATGATATGATGATGATGATGATGATGATGATGATGATGATGATGATGATGATGATGATGATGATGATGATGATGATGATGATGATGATGATGATGATGATGATGATGATGATGATGATGATGATGATGATGATGATGATGATATGATGATGATGATGATGATGATGATGATGATGATGATGATGATGATGATGATGATGATGATGATGATGATGATGATGATGATGATGATGATGATGATGATGATGATGATGATGATGTGTGATAGTGTGGTTTGTGAGTCGACTGAGAAGGCACTTCGTCTCTCTGCGACCTTGCACTCAAGTTCGGAGAGGGGGATGATGGCAGCATGGTGAGTGAGGGAGGTGAGAACATCCCCCCTCTCCCCTACGTCTTTTTATAATGGCTTCCTCTCCACCCTTATTTTTCTGTCTGCTTCCCTTATTCCTCGCCGCTCTCCCCCCCCCCCCCGCACCCTCCCTTCCACCCACCCCTATCCCCATTCCTCCCTTCACATGATGGTGCCATCAGAGCCGTCCATTCGG